CAAAAATAAATAAATGAAATCTTAAAAAAAAAAAAAAAAAAGCTCAGTGAAAATGCAAAGCAAACTGAGTAACTGCTTGGCTGGTAACCCTCAAGTGCTTCCCTTCGCACTAGAAATAAAATGCATTCTCTTGGGATGCTCTTGGAGGATCTTCTTGGAGGATCCCTCTGACCTCGCTCACTTGTCTCCTGCATTCAGCCTTTCATGCAACAAATATTTTATTGAACACCTACTGGATGCTCTAGAAGCTGGAGAGACTGCAGTGAACCAAGCAGACGTCGCAACCTGACCTTGTAACTGTCTTCATCCTCCACAAACCCATTCCCTCCGCAGATCTCTGCTGTACCTGAAAAGACCTTTATTTAGGGCCTCCCCTGTGGCGCAGCAGTTGAGCGCTGGGCTGTGAGGCTGCCCAGCCGGTTCGTTCCCCCGCTGCCAGCGAGGGTCCCACCAAAAAAAAAAAAAAACCTTTATTTACAGGTGACCTTTTTTTTACAGGTGAATGAGCTCAGGGAGGGCAGGGCCCTTCTGTTACTGAGTTGCATCGCTGGGTCTAGAACAAGGTCTTGTTTCTAGTTAGACCTCAATCACAAACACGAGCTGACATCTATTTAATATATGCACCTGGCCCAGATTTAACTTGTAAGAACAAACACTCCTTAGCTCCCTATCCTGAAAAACATGCCCATTTTACAAGAGGTAACAGGTCCAGAAAGAGCTAGGCTGTGAGTTCAAGAAGTCTGCTTTGCAGTATCATGCTCCTTCCTAAGCACCGCTCTATACAGTTCAGCCTCCAAGTGAGTGAATGAAAGACTCAGTCCTTCAGGCTGGACTGAATTCAGCGCCTCCTGTTAGCGGTGTTACCTAACACCAATCGATTTACCTCTCTGAACCTCAAATTCTTTATCCTTAAAGGTCAAGTGTCTTCTAGTTCACGTGAAGATGAAAGATTGGCTCCTAGATATCACCTCCTTACGCACACGTGAGCACACCCCATTGCATCGAAAGTTGGGGGGCGAGGGGGGACGGCGGGGTCGGTCAGGCGCTGGGTGTGGCCTTAGTAGGAGGCCAAAGTCTCTCTGGACTTCCAGGTTCCTCCCCTTTGTCCCCGCCCTACCTGGGCCCCAAGGCGCTGCCTCCGACACCCCCACCCCCCTGAACACCGGGCCCAACGAGGTAACCAGAGAGACACCGTTACAGCGTGTGTCCCCGAAATAGCCGCGGCGGTGTGGTTTAAAGAAATGCGGCGGCGGGGACAAAACCCCGCCTGGAGCTAGCGGCCCCGCCCCCGCCGCCAGATTTCGTTGGGAGGGAGGCGCCGGCGCCCGCCCCGCACTCGCCAGCCGCGGGCAGCGGGAGGAGCGGCGACCTGCGGAGATGGAGACGCTCGGCACCTGGGCGCTGCTGCTGCTGCTGCTGCTCCTGGCGCTGGCGCTGCTGCTCCGGACGCGCACCCAAGGGCACCTGCCTCCGGGACCCGCGCCGCTGCCGCTGCTGGGCAACCTCCTGCAGCTTCGCCCCGGGACGCTGTACCAGGGCCTCTTGCGAGTGAGGGGAGCCCCCAGCCGCGAGACCCCAGGGGCCGAGAGGGAGGGGTTCTCCAGGGAAAGACACAGGAGTGTCAGGACGGAGAAGCTAGGGTACCCTAGGGAGGTGGCAGGAGCTGGGGACCTGGGCCACGGGGCTAGGGGTGACCCGGAGTGGGGTAGGAGAGGGGTCCGGGCTGCGGAGAGAGAGGAGGACCTGGGCTAGCAGGGACAGAGTCAGCTGCCACAGACTCCCTGGAGAGGGTGTATGGGCAAGGAAGCAGAATCCAGAGTGGCAGAGGTCCCCAAGCTTAGGGACCCACAAAATCCTGGGCAGTGGAGGCGTCGGGCCCAGAGCTGAAAGCCTTCCAGTTGAAGGAGTCCAGGGTGATGGTGGGGGGTGGGCTTTTCCCCCGGAGAGGTTGCTGCACCTGCAGGTGAGGTATCCTGAACTGAGGGGAGACAGAAGAGGAGGGACCGGTGGGGAAGTGGAAGCTGCTGAGGCAGATACCAGAAATCTGTCAGCAGAGAAGGGGGGTGGGGGGTGGGGCAGATAGGTGGAGCCCAGGCAGGAGGGAGCTGGCAGTTCCTGGGACCAGGAAGGGAAGGAGAGCAAGAATGAAAGCTGAGAGAGGCCGGTGTGGGCCTCTGCCAGGTGTGGGCCGTGGAAATCACTCCCCATTCTAAAGGAGCCTAGAAATTTCAGGGCCTGGCAAGGCAGTTGGGGCTCTCAGGGAGAGATGGGGCAGGTCTGGCAGCCCCTCCAGGAGGTGAGGGGTTAGCAGTGATTGAAAGGGTGGCTAGATATTAGAGTGAGGGGCTGAGAGGTGCGGAATTATGGGAGACCCAGCATGCAGCCGCCATTTGTCAGCTTGAGGGCATCAGAATGGGTTTCTTGTTGTCCCGGGTTCAGTAGTCAGGATGCTGCCCCCAGGGAAGGGGGTGGGGACTAGGGAATGTAGAGGGGAGGGGGTTTTAGGAAAGGGAGCCAGGAACCTTGTGACTAGAGGAAGGGCTTGATTGAGGGAGGGGCTGAGGGCAAGGGGTTCTCACCGAGGGAGCAAGTGCCTCCCCCAGTGCCAGACCCTAACAAGGGACTGGAGGCCCAACAGTGTACCCCACAGCATGCCCCTTCTTCCTCCCTGCCCCCAGCTGAGCCAGAAGTATGGATCTGTGTTCACCGTTTATCTGGGGCCCCGGCGCCGAGTGGTGGTCCTGGTGGGACACAAGGCAGTGCAAGAGGCCTTGGGCGGCCAGGCCAAGGAGTTCAGCGGGCGGGGGATATTGGCAACGCTGGACGGCACCTTTGATGGCCATGGTGAGTCGTGAAGGGAGCAAGGAGGCCGGAGCTCCCCTCAGAGCTGTGACCTTCCTGCACAGCCCCGCCCTGTCCTGCACAGCCAGTCTAGTTAGTTACCAGTTGTGTTGTTATCATGGCTGCAGGCAGAGCCCCTAGGCAAGCACAGACCAAGGTGGAGTTATTCTTGCTGAGACTAAAATCAGGCCCTAGGGGATCTAGGCAACCAACCGCTAAATGATCCTGTTCCCCCAGAGCCCCTAGGCCGGTGAGCAGCAACCTGTACTTGTGACAAGGACAGTTCAGAGAGGTCAGGGTCAGGGTGGGGATAGCACCTGACCTAGCCTGCTGGGGTCGAACAAGGTTGAAGTGTCAGAGTTGAGACTCAGCTTGAGTGGGAAGGGTTTCCAGGCAGAGAGACCAGCATGGACAAACTGTGCAGGTGAGGGGGAAACATTCATTCATTCCACTGGCATATTGTCTTCCGTGAAAACCTCAGATGACCCAGATCGGTGTGTGGCCTGTCTCCCCGGGGCAGAGAGGACTTGTAATAAGACAATGGAAGAAGAGAGTAGATTTCAAAATGAGCGGTGACACTATTGAGAGCAGGACATAGGGTCTGTACTGGAAAGAGAAGGAAAGAGAATGGGAGGAGTCAGGAAGCCTGCTCAGAGGAGGCGACCTGTGAGCTGATACCGAAGGAGGAGTGGAATTCATTTGGTGAGGATGGAGACTGGGTGACCCAGACAGAGGGAGTGTTAGGGGGAAAGAATGTCCTGAGCTAATCCCATACATATTGGGGCTGCCCTATAACAGGAGCAGTGGGGCAAAGGCTGTGAAGGGGGCTCTGACTCCATTGAGGAAGTGAGAGACGTTGGCGCGATGGCGGTGGCATGAGTAATAAGCCTGGAGAAGTCGGCGAGCCTGGTCACGCAGGGCCTGAGTCACACTGAAGGGTTTGGGCTTTGGATTTTGCTGGGAGTATTTGATTCCAAGCGTGGAAGGGATGTAGTCAGAGTAAGAAAGACTTTCTGTTCACTCTGTGGGGGCCCGAGGAGACTAGGATGGGACATGGCTGAGGCCATGGAGAAGAGAGGGGTGGTGGGCCTCCCTGGTGGTGCAGGGGGTTAAGCACGGCACTATGAAACAATCCGCAGTCTCTGCAGCATGAGTTCAATCCCCAGCTGGCCAGAGAGAAACCCACATGGTGAGGCAGACCTCTCCTATCTCGCCCGCTGCTCCCCTCAACAGTGTATTTCAGTCAGTCTGCCTGTTCCCCACTCTGTCTCTGGTGAATCCTCTCACCGCGCCCCCATGTCTGGCCTGTATTCCAGCTCTTGTATGCATAAATAAATAAATAAATATTTAAAAGATTAAAAAAGAACAGAGGGGTGGTGGCTAGGAGAGGCCCTGTCAGTGGGCAGGGAGTCGTGGGCTGGGACAGGAAGGAAGAGGGATGCTAAGGCCACTTTGGGGCACAGTGGATGGGAGGGTTGGGCAGAAGATATCCAGCAGGAGGCCACTGCGGTTCTGCACTCTATGGGTGGGAGTGCAAGTTCAGAGAAGGGGAAGGTCTGTGAGGACAGGCCTCTTGGATAAAGGAATAAAATGGGCAGTTCTATTGTCCTCCCTCCCCGTTCAACCTCCAAATGACATGGGGCATGGGATTCAATATTGCTCTGTAAGTGTTGGGGTGGATGGATGAGTGGATATTGATGCGTAGATGGAAGAATGGATGATGGATGATTGATGGACAAATGGGTGATGATAGATGAATGGATATTGGTAGGTCGATAGAAGACTGGATGATGATTGGAAGGATTGATCATGGTGGATGGAAGGATGGAGGTTGGATGGGTGGATGGAAAGAATCTTCAGTCACCTTGGTTATCCACAAACAAGAGGAACCTAGATAATTCCAGTTACCAAGTTTTCAGGAGAACGTAATACTCTGAACCCAGGTCAGAGGATAGAAGAACCAGTTATCAATTTATCGCGCCCCTACTGAGCCCTTATCCTTGACATAGGCTGGTATGGTCTCAGGCAGAGCCTGCAGAGTCCCCGCTGGGGGACCCTCCCTGGAGGACAGGAGTAGTCCTGGGGTTGGGGAAAGGGCTCTTCCCTCCTTGAGTCTAGCCTCCTGTGCAGGGGTTTTCTTCTCCAATGGGGAGCGATGGAGGCAACAGAGAAGATTCACCCTACTCGCTCTGCGGGACCTGGGCATGGGGAAGAGAGAAGGCGAGGAAATGATCCAGGCAGAGGTCCGGTGTCTGCTGGAGGCATTCCGGGGGACAAAAGGTCAGCATGGCGGATTCAGCTGAATGTGGGGAGGACCCGGAACTGTCACATGTCGCATCACTCTGCCTCTCTTTCTTGCCATTTCTGTTTTTCTCTCCTATGTCTGTCTCTTTCTCTGTCGCACTCTCTGTCCTTGTCTGTCTCCTGTCTGTTTTATCCTGTCCATCGCTTTCCCTGTCTCTCATCTCTCTCTTTCTCAGTCCGTCTCTCTGCCTGTCCCTTTCTGGTTGAGTCTGGCCCATACTTCATCACTGTGGGTCCACCCTGCCTGCAAGTCAGCCTCTCTCACCACCTCCTCCTGAACCCTCCCCCCAGGACAGCCATTTGACCCATCCCTGCTGCTGGCCCAGGCCACCTCCAACATGGTCTGCTCCCTCATCTTCGGCCTCCGCTTCCCCTACAAGGATAAGGAGTTCCAGGCCATGGTTCAGGCAGCTGGCGGAGTCCTGCTGGGGATCAGTTCCCTGTGGGGTCAGGTAAGTGGATGGGGGGCCCCTCTCCAGCCACCTTCCCCAAAGTTTCCATCTGGCCCCTCTCTTCCAGGGAACACCCTCAGAGCCCTCCTTCCAGCCAGGCCTCCTGAGAACAGCTGCTCTTCTCCCCCTGCAGGCCTATGAGATGTTCTCCCAGCTCCTGCAGCACCTGCCCAGCCTGCACGCAGACTTCCTTGGCCACGTGGGCACCCTGGCTGCCTTTGCTGTCCAGCAGGTAGAGAGGCACCGGAAAAACCTAGATACCTCAGGCCCCGCCCGTGACCTTGTGGATGCCTTCCTGCTGAAGATGACACAGGTGGGGAAGGTTTGGGGGGCCTCCTTCCATCTCTCCTTTTTCCTCCCTCTATCCAGCCCTCTTGTTCAGACCCCAGGCCCCGTGACCCGCAACCCCCACCACCATCACATCACCCCCACACACACAGGATATGCTTTATGAATCCCGTCATTTAATTACAGAACCTTTCAATGTCACCTTATGCAATAAAGTCCACGTTATTACATGTATAAGAACAGTGTATAATTATGAAAACGTTAAAGTTAAGGCAACTGCTGTGTCAATAACGACCTGGGAATTATGGGAGATACTCAGGGTCACATCCTTTGAATAAGTGCAGCCACCTCTTCATGGAGAGACAATTTTCCCCTTAACCCAGTGACTCCATTTCTTCTCTCTTTCATTCTTTAAATTTAATTTTTTTTCTTTAATTGTAAAATATCCAAATGTAAAATCTGCCATCTTGACCATTTTTAAATGTGAGGTCAGTAGTGTTCATTATATTCTCACTGTGCAATGAATCTCCAGAATTCTTTTTATCTTGCAAAACTAAATTCTTATATCCATTACCAACTCCCCATCCTCTCCTCCCCCACCTCTGGCCACCACCGTTGTGCTTTCTGTCTCCCTGAATTTGTCTACATACCTCACAGAAGTGGAATCATAGAGTATTTGTTATTTTGTGACTGGCCTATTTCACTCCAAGGTCGTCCCTGCTACGGCACATGACAGGATTCCTCTCTTTTTATTTTTTCTAAAGATTTATTTTTATTTACTTATGCATTAAAACTGGGGTGTGGGCCAGAGGTGTGGGGTGTGAGAGGATTCACCAGAGTCAGAGCGGGGAACAGAACAGGCGCATCAACTGAAATACACTGCTGAGGGGAGCAGTGTGCGTGACAGGAGAGGTCTGCTGCACCATGTGGGTCAGCTTCCTTGCCGGGGATTGAACTCAGAACATAGCGTGATAGCACTTGAGACTTAACCCGTAGACCACCAGGAGGCTCCCAAGGATTTCCTTTCTTTTTTTTTTTTTTTTTTTTTTAAGATTTATTTATTTATTTACATAAGCACTGGGTACAGTCAGAAGTCGGGAAGGTGAGAGAATTCACCAGAGTCAGAGCGGGGAACAGAACACACAGACCGATGAAATACACTGCTGAGGGGAGCAGCAGGCATGGCTGGAGAGGTCTGTCACGCCGTGTGGGACCCTCGCTGGTGGCCGGGGATCGAACTGGCACTGCAGAGGCTGCGGGCAGCTTCGCAACCCAGCTCTCAACTGCTGCGCCACCAGGGGAGGCCCCAGGATTTCCTTTCTTTTTAAGGTGAATATTCCACTACATGGATACTCTAGTCCACATTTGCTTATCTGTCCATGAATGAACACGTGGGTACTTCTGTCCTCGAGTTACTGTGAATAACGCTACTATGCATGGCATCTTCTAAATCCAGCTTTCAGTTCCCTGGGGAATATACCCAAATGGCTGGATCCTATGGGAATTGTGTTGTCAAGTTCTGAGGAACTACCAGGCCATGTTCCATGGCAGCTGCACCATTTTCCACTCCCATCCATGGTGACTAGAGTTCTCATTTCTCCACACCTTCTCCAATACTTGTTATTATTATTATTATTATTATTTTAAATAGTGGCCATTCTCTTTCATGTCTGCAAATATTTCAACAAAGAACTAACATTAAGAGCCCACTTCCCAACTTTCCCAAATGTGTGTTTAAACTCCCTGACACACTTTGGCTCGCCTGTCCTGGACCTGTGTTCTGAGCGCCTCTCCCTATTTTCTTCCAGGAGAAACAAGACGCCAACACAGAATTCACCGACAAGAACTTGCTGATGAATGTCATCTATCTGTTGTTTGCCGGGACCATGACGGTCAGCGCCACGACCCGCTACACACTCCTGCTCCTGATGAAATACCCTCAGGTCCAAGGTACGAGTGTTTTCCACCCATCAGGCCCTGGGGGCAGAAGTAAGGGCTTAAGTGGACAGCGTTAGCTTGAGGCTGAGGTAAGAATGAGCCCAGCGTCTGGCAATGTGAGGCATGGTGAGAAACGAGGCAGGAGAAACCTCTAAACCAGGATGGTGGCATGTGGTGTACCCATTTCTCAGCAGCAGGGAGCTATGGGAGGATATTGGGCAGGGTCAAATTTGCATTTCAGAAGAATCCTTTGGGCTGCTGTGAAGAGGCAGATTAGAGCTTCAAGAACTGAAGGGAGGACCTGGAGGAACCTGGGGGGAAAGGACTGACCTGGGCCAGGCTGTGTGGGCAGAAAATAAGAATGATGATGGGAGGGAGGGAGGGTATGGACACAGACCCAAGGCTCCAGCCAGGGCATGGGGGGACATGAGGCCACCCTGAGATGGAGACAGAAGAATGAGCAGCTGGTTCCCATGGAGACACTGAAGCTAGTTTGGGTGTGAGGGCCCTGGGGTCACCTGGGGAGATGTATCCAAGGGGTCATGACACACCCAGGCCGGACTAGAGACTCAAAGCACATCAGGTCATTAGAACACAAGCAGGAACTTGGTGAGGGAGGTGGTGTGGGTGTGGGTGTACCCTAGGAACTTTAGCTTTAGGGGTCAGGCGACTGTCTTAAATGCTATCAGCCTATAGGGTGGGCTGGCCTGAAGGATGGAACTAGAGCACCAGGTGGCCTTAGTGAGGGGGATGTCAGCTGAGACTGTGGCTCTCTGGGCCTCAGTTTCCCCATCTGGGAAATGAGGACAGGTGGATTGCTGTGGGCATTCGGAGAAGCTTGATGTAGTGCTCAGATCATAGGCTCCCGCCCAGGCCTCACCCCAAACCACAGTTGCCCAAGAAGGTGGGACTTCCGAGGGGAGGATCACCTCACCTCTCACCTCCAAACCTCCTTTTCTTGGCACAGAACGCGTGCGGGAGGAGCTGACCCGGGAGCTGGGTGCCAGGCAGGTGCCAAGCCTGGCAGACCGAGCCCGCCTCCCATACACGGATGCGGTTCTGCACGAGGCCCAGCGGCTGCTGGCACTGGTGCCCATGGGCATACCCCGCGCCCTCACCAAGACCACCTGCTTCCGAGGATACACCCTGCCCAAGGTGGGTACAAGGGCAGCTCAGCCCAGCGGTGGTCTCTGCCTCAGGCCCACGACTGGTGCTTATCTGAGTTTTCCTGGACATGGGTCTCTCTCTTTCTCTGTATCTTATGCCTCTCTCTCCTCTCCCCCAGACAGGTGTGTCCCTCTCTGTGTGTCTTTGTGCCTCGCCCCACCCCTCCATCTCTCAGGCTCTCTGTTTCTTTTCGTGTGCATTTCTCTTGCCCTTTGATTCTGTCTCTGGGCCTTAGTTTCCCCATCTATCCAGTGAATATTCAGATTCTACTTCCTTCCAAGGGGATTGGGACAGTCAGAGGAAGGGACAGACAGACAGGGAAGCAATATGAGAACAGAGGGCTCCCTCTGTCTCCTGTCTCTGTCTGTCTGTCTGTCTATCTGTCTGTCTGTCTGTCTCTCTCTCTCTCTCACACACTTCTTTCTCTCTCTCTCTCTCTCTTCCTGCCGCATTCATTTGAGAGTATCTCAGAGCCAGCACCACCAGGGGGCGATGTCTCCCTGGAAACCCAAGGCGTCTTGAATGGTTAACGGACTTGCCAAGGTCACACGGCCTACAAGTGATAGAGACAGGTTTTGAACCCAGGACCTATCTCATTTTCTCGTCTTTACTGCAGTAACACAATTCTGTCTTTCCCTGGAGCACATCTCATCTTCCAGCTCAGAGCTCCGTTCGCCACAGCCCTATAGAAGGAAGTCCCTCTCCCCTCCTCATGCACCCCTCTTCCTCCCTCACTGCATCTCCCTCCTCTTCCACCGCACAGTCCTGCACAGTCCTGGGAACGTGGCAACTCTGATCCTACTGAGGGAGCTGCCACTGTCCCAGAATCTGAACGTGGGGGACTTCATGGACCCTCCTTACCCACTCACCCTTGGCTTTACCTCCAAGAAGACCGTAAGAAAAGGAGCCCTCAGAGCCACAGCTGAATCACAGCATCCCCACAAGTTGGAAAACAAAATTTAAAAGTAACAAGCCCTGACATGTCCCACAATGTCACCGTAGACAGGTTGCTTGAGTTTTCTTGCCCTCAATGTTCCTACCTTGAAATGGATCATAGTAGAATCAGCTTCCTAAGAGCATGCGCGCATGTGTGTGTGTAGCACAGGCACCTGTTACTCTGAGACTCTATCTATAAAATGCTTGATAATGTGCCTGGGCCATAATGAGCGCTTAGGACACATCCACGCCTCGGTGAACATGTCGTGAACTGGCGTCCCCAACCCTCCAGATTCCTGTGCTCTGCACAGAGGCCTGGGTGGTGGGAAAGAGAGTGGTTTTGATTTCCCCTCAGGGCACTGAGGTCTTCCCCCTCCTGGGCTCTGTCCTGCATGACCCCGAGGTCTTCAAGAGGCCAGAAGAGTTTAATCCAGACCGCTTCCTGGACGCGAATGGCCGCTTCAAGAAGGAGGAGGCCTTCCTGCCCTTCTCCTTAGGTATCTGCTGGGCCCCGATCCCACCCAACCTTCCAGGCTGCTGTGCTGCCTGGGGCTCACTGCTGGCTTCTCCCCCATCCTAAATGGTTCCTCATGGGTTCAGATGTGAAGGAGGCTTGTTCAGCTCCTCTCTCTTCCCTTCAGGAAAGCGCGTGTGCCCCGGGGAGGGCCTGGCGCGGGCAGAACTCTTCCTCCTGGTCACCACCATCCTGCAGACTTTCTTCCTGGACAGCCCAAGCCCGCTGGGGACCCTGAGCCTCCAGCCAGCTGTCAGTGGCCTTTTCAACATCCCCCCAACCTTCCAGCTGCAAGTCCGGCCCCGCTGACTTCCACCCCATCTCACCTGCCCACCATGTGAACCCGACACGGGAGCTTAGAGAGTCAGTGGCCTCCACAGTGGGCATGGACGTGGCTGTGGCTCCGGGGCCACAGGCCAACTCTGTAGGCAGCCAGCCACATTCTCACACATCTGGCTATTTTCTAGAATCAGTCACATCACTACTCAGCCTACACATACACAGGGCCATGCTCAACAACCCGTGCAGCTGTCAAGATGAAATTGGACACTCCTACCCAACCACACGTGCCACTAGGCCACACAAGCTTTCTCAGACATAAATTTAGTCTATGTGCAACCACAGTCCCATGCCCAGAAAACCTACCAGCCCATACACAAAACAACTACCCCTGATTTGCAGCCCCAAACAGCCACCATGTGTCATTTTCACTTATCAAAGCTGCCATGGTCTCTGGAATCCTGATGCAGACACCATGCCCCTCCTGGGTCATATCATCCCACAGAGCTTGGTCCTGGCCTTTGCCTACCCAGCTTTTGAATATCTTCCCACTGAGACAACCCAGGAGGCAGAGCCCTGGCTCCTCTGCACCCTCACCCCTGATAGACCCCTTCTACCAAGCACCCTGATCCCTAAATTCTCCCCATATATGAACAAACCCCTGGTGGGCAATTGGACACACAGGTCTGAAAACGAAGTGTACTTGTATGCCCTAAAACCCCTAGACCATGTTCAGAGTCCCCCCCCCCCATTTTGCCGCCCCCCCCCCCCCACACACACACACAGTCCCTATTCTGTCAGAGTCGCCACTAGACTCAGTGGAAGGAGCTAGACACCAAGCAGGGGCTACGTTCCAACTCCTGTGTCAGGGATCAGGCCAAGTCTGACATCTTTTTGACTCGAAGGTCCTTATTTTGCAATAAAAGGTTGTTTCTGGTCCTGGCTTTGGCCCAAGGCTGGGCCGAGTGTGTGCCTGTTGACAGTGTCTGTCAGTGTGAGTAAGGGGTGGGGTTGGGGGAGTCCACCCCTCCCTCGAGGCCAGGCGGGAGCTGAAAAACATGGCCCCCGCCCACCCCTGCTGCTGACATCAGTTCCAGATGTGGAGTGGGGGAGGGCCTCATCCTGGGCCTCACTTCCGGCCAGGCCACCTAGGGTGGGAGGTGGGCTGGATAAGGTGAGGAACAGGACTGCTGGCCTGGGTGGGGAGGGACCTCAGGTGGGGAAAGTTCCAAGAGGACAGGTTCTTTCCCTGAGGACCCCCCAATATGAACACAGTTACCGAAACAGTCCCTAGCCCCACTCTCCACTCTTCCACTGTCCTCCTGCCTTCGCTTCCCAGGGATACCTGAAGCAGCTTTTTCTTTAATTGTCTGGCAAGGAAATTTTCAAATACAAAAATCGAATCAGGCCAGGAGTCCTTATACCCATCATGCAGTCTCATTTGATAACCACTAACTTTCTACTTTATTGCATCATTCTCTTAGAATTATTTTAAAGCAAATCCCAGAAAATAATTAAATACACATTTCAAATTACAAAGGACATTCATTCCCATCCTATACCCCCATTTCATTATGACAATTTTTAAACTTGCAGCAAAGTTGAGGAAATTGATGGGAAAAATGCGTGAACAATCTCTCTGCTTCTCCCGCCCACAATTTACCACCGCCATAGCAGATTACCCACCTGGGCTTCCAGCTTTTATTTCTTCTGGCATTTCAAGGTAAATTGTAGATTTTGGTTCATCTTCCCCTGAATGCTTCAGCAGTATGTATATCATTAGCTCCAGTTTCCTTTTCTATTCTTTAAATTTTTCCCGACATTAAAAATCACTTTAAGTTGTAGAGAAGGAAGCCAAACCTGTGCTAGACAAGTGGAAATGATCAAGACCAGATGTAACCTTACACTTTGCGACTGATCACACCTTGACAAAGGATGTAGCATCTAAAAGACAAGATGTTATGAGTACAATGGTGAAAAATCCTGGAATCTAGTAGGAGCAACATGCCACATTCTTAGAGCTCATTGCATCACTTTTTTTTTTACATGTCAGTGCAATGTAGAAAGAAATGAATGAGGCTTAAGATTTGATCCTTTTAAATTAAGGCAATGACTTGCTTTCCTTTGCACTCAAAATACATATTCAGGGAAATTTGGAATGAGAACAGCAGCAAATGCATTGATTGCAGGAAAGATGAATCTTGCATTGCATCGTTAGGATGGAGAGGTAGGATGATTTAGTAGCAGGTAAAAGGAAATACGAACTCCAAGTGGCTTAAACAATAAAGAATTGCCAGACCAGGCCTCCCTGGTGGCCCTGAGGTTAAATCTCAGCACTCTCTCACAGCAGACCTCTCCTGTCTTACCCTGTTCACCTTAGCAGCATATCTCAGTAGATCTCCAGTTCTGCTCCCCACTCTGTCTCTGGCGAATCATCTCTCACACTCACACCCCACCCCATCCCCGCACCTTTGGCCTATACTCCAGTTCTTATATTCATAAATAAATAAAAAGAAATCTTTTTAAAAAAAGAATTACAAGACCCCAAATCAAAAGTAGTGTTAGGGGGCTTTTAGTTTTGTGTGCAGCTGGTGAAATAGACATAGTTATCATTTTCACCATTTATAAGTGTATAATCCAGTGGCATTAAATACTTTCACCATGTTTTCTAACCATCGCCATGACAAATTTTTCATGATTCCCCAACAGATTTTATTAATCAATAATGCCCCGGTAAAATTAGCTTTTCAAAAATCATAACCACAATGACCATTTTCTCATCTAACCCAAAAGCATGTCTGCAATTTCTTTTCAAGGTTGCCTGATGGACTAATGATTGTGTTTTATAGTTCAAATCAGGACCCCAAGGTTCCCTACACCCCACCTCCCACTCAATTGTCGGGTCTTTTTTTATTCCGTGGAAGAACTGGGGTATAGGCTACATGTGTAGAGGGTGAGAGGTTTCACCAGAGAGATTGGGGAGCAGAACAGGCAGACTGACTGAAATACACTGCTGAGGGGAGCAGCGGGTGAGACAGGAAAGGTTTGCTGCACCATGTGGGTCAGCTCCCTGGCTGGCCAGGGATCAAACTCGTGCTGCAGTGGCTGCCAATAGTTTGATAGGGCTGTGTCTTTCACCCCTGCACCACCAAGGAGGCCCCTGTCCACCTCATTTTTAAAATGCGCTTGAAAGTAAATTGCATTCAGGGCCTCCCTGGTGGAACAAGGGGCTAAGCACTGCACTATGAAGCAATCCGCAGCCTCTGCAGCACAAGTTCGATCCCCGGCCAGCCAGGGAGCTGACCCACATGGCACAGCAGACCTCTCCTGTCTCTCCCGCTGCTCCCCTCAGCAATGTATTTCAGTCTGCCTGTGTTCTGTTCCCTGCTCTGTCTTTGGTGAATCCACTCACCCCCTTGCATCTCTGGCCTGTACCCCAGCTCTTGCATGCATAAATAAATAAATCTTGGAAAAAAAAAAAAAAAGTAAATTGCATTCAAACAAGTGAGCTGACCTTGGTGCATATTTGCGCCCCCCCAAAAGCCACAACTATGTCTCCTTTATGGCAGGCTTTGTGCAGGGAATGCACAGTGGAGACCCAGCTGTAGCGAGAGACCAGTCCCTCACCTCCCAGAGCCCAGTGACCAGCCAGCGGGAGGAGACAGACGTGACAAACACATAATCACACCAATAAATCTACCATGGCTAGGTGCCACCAAAGCAAAGGACAGTGAACAGGACCTAGATGAGACTGGGAGGGGTCAGACAGTGATGCAATGGAGAGTGTGCGATTGAGTTGCAGCTGAGGGGTGTGTAGGAGTTGGGAACAAAGAGTGCAGGAGGATGTGCCTACCCCCAGTCCTGTGAGCAAGGGAATGGAGCCTGGGGATGGGAAAGGAGGGCTACGGGAACATGGCAGCCATTTGGGGGTTATCTCAGAAGGTGTGGGGCAAGGAGGCATTGAGAAATATCCATCAGGTGGTAGACAAGTGAAAAAGAGGGAGAATGGGGGCCAGGGAGGAGGCCAGAGCAAGATTCCAGGCCAGAAAGCTCCTGGGAACTGGGGGGTGCAGGGGTAGATGGGACAGAGGTTGGTGAAGCTGAAACCCCATGGATTTGGAAACTTACTGCAAGGGGGAGGACCCAAGGGCCAGGCAGAGTGGCAGGGTGGAGGCAAGGCCCTTACTGAAATGGGAAACAGCCAAGACTGCTCAGGAAGGCAGAGGGAGGGACAGGGTCAGATTGGGGTTTGGAAACATCCCTCTGGTTGCTGAATGGGAGCCGGGCTGGAGGGAGTGCAGGCCAAGTAGGGTCCAGGTAGGATGGGGTGACAAGAGGGAGGCTGAATGGACTGGATTTGGTGATGAGGTGTAAGGACACTGATACACAAGCAGAATGTCCCAAAGCGGAGACATCAATGCTCCATCTCATCCCGCACAGACCCCCAAGCTTGCAGGTGCAAGACACACAGGGGCAGGGAAATGGACATGCAGCAGTACCAACATACGGGCACCGGATGCCAAGGACAAGCATACACAGTGTGGCCCAAGCGAGATAGCCGTGCACGAGCACAGAGATAGATGAGATGCAAAAGTCACGGGCACTCATCAGCTGTCCGCACCACGTGCCAAGAGCCGCATGTGCACAGACACAGGACTTCTGCCCTCGAGCCTGCTGAGCAGCTTCTAGTCTTACTCCCATCTTACAGATGGACAAACTGAGTCTCAGGGAGGGCAGTCACCTGCAAGGTCACCTGCTCAGGAGTAGAACTGGGATGCCAAGCCACGCCTGGGAGCACCCCACTGGGTACCCACACACAGACTGCCTGTTTCTGTGCCCATGGGGGTCTCTTGTATGGAATGAGCCGCACCATGGATGCCCAGGGCATTGTCCTCCCATTCCTGAGCTTTCTCTGGGAATAGAGTCCCTGGCCCGGCTAGTCTGAATATGTCTGTCAGTGTGTCCGTGGGCCAGCAGCGAGCCCTTGCGTGTCTCTGCCTGTCCCAGCCTGTGTCAATGGTGTGTGTGTGTGTGTGTGTGTGTGTGTTTGTGTGTAGCTGAGGAGCTGTGAGCTTGAGGGGGAGTGGAGGGACAAGGGAGGCCTGGCTGGGGCTGGGCTGGGGGGTGGAGGCAGGGAAGGGGGTGTCACACAGACTGAGGGGAGTGGAGATCTGGAGGAATGTTTACCAGACACAGAGAGAGCCCAGAGGGACAGCGCCCAGAGCCGGGTAGAGACACACAGCCTCCTCCCTGCTGGCCAAGGATTAGGGGCACAGACACGAGGAGCCCCTTCCCCCCTCAGCTTCCCTCCCAGGCCCCTTTAAGATGGGGCTGGTCCTCTCCTCTCTCAGTTAACCCCTCCAAGTCCAGGTGGCCCCCTTGGGCTCCCGCCCGGTGGGCGGAGGCAGAGGGGGAGCCAAGAGGCGGAGAAAGGGTTGCCTGAAGTTCGGGAGGGAGAGAAGGAGGCAGGGGAGCCGGGAAGGCGGCCGCTGAACCGAGCCGGTTAGGGGCCCCGCTGTGCCAGGCAGGCAGTGCCAAATCTTGGGAGCCCGGAGCTGGGGGGGAGGGCTGGGGACAGCCCGGCCCTGCCCCCTCCCCCTGCAGGGTGCCCAGCAACTTCTGAGGAAAGTTTGGCATCGATTGCGCTGTGGCCGGAGGATGGGCAGGGTCCTGCTGGCCTGGTACTTGGCTCTGTGCTGCTGGGGGTGTGTGGCCCCCGAGGGTGAGTGATTGGGGTTCCGGGGGGCAAGACCACCGAGGAGGGGCTGGGATGGATGGCAGGTGTTGGGAGTGAGTTCTGGGCTGGCTCATGGAGGTTCCCTGAGACCACAGGGAGGGAGACACCAAGAAAAACCCTGAGAGCTGAGAACGGAGCAGAAGAACCAGAAACAGAAGCAGGGAGGCTGGGGTTGACAGACACTCAGGCGGACAGAAGGAGAAGCTGAGAGCAGGGGTGGGGCTGGATTGGGGTCGGGTGGGGGTGGGGGGCTTGGGGAGAGACACTGAACTAGAGGCTGCCAGGGAAGGAATCTTCCAGAAGGGAGTACTAAGTCAGGCAGCTGGGTGAGGAGGGCTCTGGAGCCCTGGGGCAAAACCCTCATCACTGTTATCCCCCACTTGTTCCTTCGCCCCACTGTCTGTAAGTCTGTCTGCTCCGCCTCTGGGGCTGGGGGCTGTTTCTCACTTCAGCTCTGCCATCTCTGTGGGTCTCCATTTCTCTCTCGCCTGTCTCCATCTCTCCCTGTTCTCTTGGTGTCTCAGTGTCTCTCTTTCTCTCTCTCTGTTGTGTCTTGCCCCACATTTTTCCCCTCTCTGGGTGTGGGGGTGCCTCTCCCTTCAATTCCCATCCTGTCTCTCCGGGAGGAGGGTCTCTGTTTCCCATTCTGACTTTCTGTCTCTCCTCCTCTGCTTCTCTCTCCCCCCTCCCTCTCCACGCCTATTTCTCCCCTACTACCCACCAGCCTGATCTGTCAAGTCTCTCGAGACCCTAAGAGAGGGCAGGGGACAGGGGCTGGCCCTGCAGGCAGTTCGGAGCGTGGGAGGCTGCCAGATCCCGGCCTACTTCCCGATGGACAGAGCAAGGATGGAGGCCGGACCCCAGTCCCCTGGGAAGGCTCCCATCCTCCCCTAAAAGCCTCCACCCTCCACCCCCTGCTGAGGTCACCCAACAACTATGTGGGCCTAAGGGCCTGGCGGGGTCCTGGCAGCCGGTAGGCAGGCGGGAGGCTGGAACTGAGGAGTCCAGAGTAGTGGGGTGGCTGAACTAACACACCCCCATCTCCCTGCAGGCGCACAGGCTGAGGGGAACCCCTTTGTGGGGAGCCTAGGAAACATCACCGGTGCTCGAGGTCTCATGGGGGCCCTTCGGTGTGAGCTCCAGGTCCAGGGGGAGCCCCCCGAGGTGACCTGGCTGCGGGATGGGCAGGTCCTAGAGCTGGCGGACAGCACGCAGACCCAGGTGCCCTTGGGAGAAGATGGGCAGGAGGACTGGAAAGTGATCAGCCAGCTCAGGTGCCTCCCCCCACCACCCGGCCTCAGCCACGACCCCATGTCCCTCCTGATCTCTGCCCCCCATCATGTGGTGGGTAAGGCCTGGGCTAGCACCCCACCTGGGTCAGAAGTCAGCTTGGACACGGGGTGCTCGCTGGTCTCACGGTCTTCTTCCTCAGCATGAGTCACTAACGGTCCCACTTCTGAGCCCTTCCGAGCTGCCCATCCAGACCCCCCCTCAGTCCTGATGACTGCTTTCCAGTGTCCGGCTTTGACCCCAGCCTCTGTCGCCCTCCTCTGCCCCATCAGGATCTCATCCTTGCAGCCCTCAGACGCGGGCTGGTACCAATGTGCGGTGGTCCTGGGAGGAAAGACCTTCGTGTCCCAGCCTGGCTATGTGGGGCTGGAGGGTGAGTCCTGGGGTCAGAGGTCGCGGGAGTCAAGAATTCCCAGGGATCAGAGGGTGCCGAATACTTCAGAGTGTCCCAGACTCCTTCAACCCAGGAAAGATCTTGTGAGGGCCCGGGAAGCTAAATTGTTAGGGACAGGTGGGAGATGTACATCCCGAGGGAGAAAACATCTTCATCTTAGTGGTGGTTGGATGTCCAGGGGTTAGACAGTGTTGGGGGGGTGGCATCCTGAGGGTCAGAGAAGGTGTCAGAGGCACGATGGATCTAATTCTCCCCCCCACCCCTGGGAGCGCTCGCTTTCCTCTCTGATAAAATGAGGGACCAGGAGCCAGACATCGGTCGGGGGTAGTCAGATACTGAGGTAATGCGTCCTGGGGGTAGAGGCCTGAGGGGTCAGACATTGGTCAAGGCCCCCACAGTTTGCAACCTCCTAGTGATGAGTCAGATCTCTGGGGGCTCTGAGGACCCCAGCCTCTACCACGCCCCCCCTCCCAGGCCTGCCTTACTTCCTGGAGGAGCCTGAGGACAGGGCTGTGACCGCCAACACCCCCTTCAACCTGAGCTGCCAGGCCCAGGGGCCCCCGGAGCCCGTCGACCTGCGCTGGTTCCAGAATGCTGTCTCACTGGCTCCGGCCATGGGCGAAGGCCCCCAGCACTCACTGCACATTCCAGGTGAGTCCCGGGGTGAGTGGTGTGCAGGGCCGGGCATGATGGTGGAAGTGGGGAGCAAGGGAGCCCTGCATGCCTGTGTGAACTGAACATCTGCCTGGCCCTCTGTCCTTGTCTGTCTGTGTTGCCTCAAGTTCTGTTTCTGCACCTCTGTCTATCAGTAGCTCCCCGTTTCCCTGTATTTCTCTATCTCTTTGTTTCTGTCTGTGTCTGTCTCTCTGTCTCTCTGCTTTCTCCCTCCATTCACCCCAGTCTCTCTGAATGGAATTCTTTGTCCTGGGCTTCCTGTGAGCTGTTCCATGGCCCAAGTGTGTGTGGGCCTGATGCCCCTCTGTCAGCCTTGACCCTGCAGGGCACTGAATCAACCATGCCTTCCCCTCCTCCGCCCCTCCCCAGCCTGCCACCTCTGCCCCCCATGGGCTCCACAGGGATGGAAGGACAGACTCCCAAAGCAGAGAAAGGGGGAGAAAGTGGAAGATGAGAAAGGCAGTTAGAGGGAGAGAGAGAGAGAAACAGACAGACAGACAGAACTAGGGGCACAAGGAACAGACCATGGAGGTGATGGAGAGAGGTGGGTCAGGGGATCCCAGTGGCAGAAGCCCCTACCAGCCTCAGGGCACCATCCCCTTTGGCAGGCACTACAGAGATGTGGCAGAACCTAGCGTGGGGACACTGGACACAGGGGGTTCCCCCCAGTGAGGAAGAAGAGTCAGAGAACAGACTGGGGTGCTCCATCAGTGGGAGGCAGCGATACCCGGGAGGGCCTCACTTCCTATGCCCCTACTCTGCTGCCTCCATCTACTGGGATGGAGAAGGGAGTCTTCACAGAGGGTCTCCGGGGAAGAGGGAGGCACCCACATTCCCAGCATTCCCGGGGCCCTGAGTGTGCAAGGAAGCAGTGGTGAGCACGCCTGCCCCCGGAGGGGTGACTCAGGTCTGTGGCTCTGGGGTCTGAGTCAGCCAGCCAGGACCCTGGGGGTGGGGGGAACAGTCCCTCCATCCCATTTCAGGAAGGAGAAATGGGACCACAGGTGTGAGAGGGTCTGGGTGTGCATCAGTGTGTGGTAGGCAGTCAGGGGTAGTCTGTGTGTGTGTCTCATGAGCAGGAGGGGGCCCCTGGGTGGTGTGTATCCACATCTTTCTGGATTCTCTGTGTGAGTGTGGCTATCAGCACCATCCATTTTGAATGAAGAGGCCTTGGGGAGAACCAGCTTCTGTGTGTGTGTGTGTTGTGTGTGTTTGTGTGTGTGTGTTTATGTCCACCTGGACATAAATAGAGAAATACCTTTTCTCTATCAGCTTGGCTATCTTTTTTTTTTTTAAGGTTTATTTATTTATGCAAACAAGAGCTGGGGTTTAGATCAGAGATACGGGGAGTGAGAGGATTCACCAGAGACAGAGTGGGGAGCATTACAGGTGGATTGACTGCAGAGGCTGCAGACAGCCTCACAGTGCTGTGTTTAACCCCTTGCGCCACCAGGGAGGCCCTTGGATGTCTTTGTGTTTGGTCTTTATAGTGGCTCCTTAAGTTTCTCAGGGGGTGTACGTGTGCATGTGTTTGTGTGTGCACGCCTGTGTATATGTGTGGTGGGGGGTAGTGTGAGGGATGGCAGTGGCTATTTCGCACTCCTCCCTGTACAGAAGTGACAGTGTCAGCAACAGGTGTGTGAGTGTCTTGGTATGTTTTTGTTTCCTATAGTAGTCAGAGGTGTGCTTCTGGGTGGCCGTCTGGGTGTATGTCTGTACACATCCCAGGGTGAGCATTCTGGCAGGTGCCTGTCACACGGAGCCCTGTACCCTCATGCACATGTGTCTTTGTATTTTCATGGCCTCTAGGTAGGTGAGGTGCTCACCGGCCAGTGTGTATGTGTGTCTCTCACCTGTGTACGCTTGGCATGTCTGTGTGTTTTGGGATCAGTCCGCGCCCTGTGAATGTGTCTGAGGCCACCTGTGTCCAGCTGTGTCCTGCACCGATGAAGGCTGCTTGACTGTCCATGTAAGTCATCAGCTACCTTTGGCATGTCCTGCTGTGTCTCCATCTGTCCAGCTCAGGCTCAAGGAATGTCTGTGGTGCATCCTGACGTGCATCCTGACGTGCATCCTGACGTGCATCCTGACATGCCAGGAGGAGTGTGTGTTTGTTAGCTTCAGCCTCGTGTCTGTTGTTTTGTAGGTGTTTGCAGACAGTGTGTGTGACTTAGGGGTGTTATCTGTTGGTGTGTGTGTCTGTGGCACCTCCTGTGTGTACACACGTGGGTCGCTGAGTGTGTGTGTCCCTGTGTGTGGTGTCACTCGCAGTGACCTGTCCAGGTCCCCAGCACTGGGCTTTCTGAGCACTGTATCAACTTTGGGTGCATCAGGCAAGTGCCCTGGTTTCTGTTTTTGTGCCAATGAAGGCCCCTGTGTGTTGGCCGTTTCTGCAAGTGTTGGGGGTGGGGTGGGGTGCTGTCCCAAGGAATTTTGTCCGTTTGTGTGTGTCTGCCCTACCATCTGACTCAGGGCGTGTCCCATCTCTCCTTCCATCCTCTCCTTCCCTCCCAAAAGCAGAGAAAAAGCAAAGAGCGAGTGAGGGGGAGGGTGCTGGGGAGGGGAGGGGGAGAGGCACCGTGCATCTGGAAAGCACTTCTGGAGCTGTCCCCTCCAGCCCCGGGAGGGAGAGCCCGCCAGAGGGGACAGGTCCCAGGTCCCTTCCCTCCTGCTCCCTCGAGGAGCCTTCCTGGGGAGTCTGGGGGGTCCCGGTGGCGCCTCCGGAAGTGCCGAGGGGGAGGGGACTCCCCGTGACTCACGCGGGGGCAGGAATGCTGCGGTCGGAACAGGACCGGGCTCCAGAACCCCCCTCCCGCCCAGGGCTCCTCCCGGGCAGCGCCAGCTCCCGCGCGGTGACCCTGGTGGGCCCCCACGTGCCAGGTGGCTGGAGCTGACCCAGGCTCCCCGCCCCCTCGGGCAGCCCGCCCGGGCTGTCCTACCCGCCTGGCGCCCCCCCCCCCCCCCCCCCCCCCCCCCCCGCGCGGGGGCTGCGCTGGGCACCTGACCTTGGCGGGGGAACAGCCGGCTGCCCGCCCTCGCCCTCGCTCCCCTGCCCACCCCCTTCCGGCCGGGACTCTCCCCTCATACCATTCCCGCTGCCTACAGAAAAGGAAACTTTGTGTCTGCGGGTAGAGGGTGGTGGTGGGAACCCAGCGCGTCCAGGGAACGGACACCACACGCTCACGCTCACGAGTCTGCAACGCTCCAGGATCGCAACTCACGCTTCAGGATGCGCCAGGGATACGGTGTGGCCCCGCAGAGTTAGGACTCGCACCTCCTCACACCTTGTCGCACACTGTGTGTGTGTGTGTGTGTGTGTGTGTGTGTGTGTGGTGTAGCTGCGTGTTGTGTGTCTGTGTGGCTTTGTGTGTCTGAATCGCTTGTGTTGCTGCTGTGCTTGCCTGTTCTCTGTGTGTGTCCTTGTCCCCACCGTCGCCCTGAGGGAGAACGTCATCCACCCCCAGACACTCAAAAACAGTTAATCAAGACACAAACATTGACTCACTGGCTCACGGATACACACATGCTCACACACACACCCAGAAACACCCGAGTTCACAAATGTACACACGTAAGTTTATGCATTCGTTCAACACGTTTTGGGAGCACCTACTGTATGCCAGGCTGTCTTGGGCCCTGGGGATACGGCAGGGGGCAAACCAGAGACCCCTGACCCCCTGGAGCTGACACTCTAGTGGAAAAGAGACCCAGGTCATGTGTGATATCTGTGATGGGGGAACGCAAGAGGAAAAGGCAAGCAAGGCCAGGACGAGGAGGGCAGGTTCCCATCTCAGACAAGGTGGGCAGGGACAGGGACAGAGCGGTGATGAAGGTGGGGTTTGAGAGCAAATGTGAAGGATGGTGGAGGCAGCCGTGTTGGCATCTGAGGGAAGACTGTTCCAAGCAAAGGGAGCAGAAGTGCAAAGTTCCCCAATGGGAACAGAGTGCTTGATATGTGTGTTCCAGAAACACCAGGAGGCCGTTGTGGCTGGAGCCAAGTGAGTGAGTGAGCAGGCAGGAGAGGGGCTGATCGGGGCCCAGCTTATGAACTAACACTTCTATATTTACCCACACCCACGGGGGTCTGTCCTTAAGTGTGTGTCTATTAGGTGTATGTGGCTCCGCGTGTGTCTGTGTGAGTTTGTGTCTGTGTGTGAGTATGTGTATTTATGAGTTTGTGTCTATCAGTGTCTCTGTTTCTGTGTATGTGTATCTGTCTGAGTACATGAGTGTGTGTGTCTGTGTGTAGGTGTGCCTGTCTCTGTGTGTGTGTGTGTATGTGCATGCCTGTACTTGTGTTTGGGGACAGAGGCCTGTGTTCCCAGTGCACTGCCCTCCCCATCCCACAATCTCCTTCCCTGTGGTGTTCAGTGGGCTGGACTATACCTGTCAGGCAGGGCATAGTAGGGGTGACCCAACACGGCCTAGGAGCCCCACCTCCCCGCTGACCCTGGGCCACCCCTCATTTCACTCCGTAGGCCTGAACAAGACGTCTTCTTTCTCCTGTGAAGCCCATAATGCCAAAGGCGTCACCACCTCCCGCACAGCCACCATCACAGGTGACAGGAAAAGGGTTTCCAGGGGTGCGGGACTTGGGGGCAGAGGGCAGAGTGGGGTGTTGTGGGACAAGGCCCCCCAGGGTCAGTGCCTCCCTTCACCTGTCCACAGTGCTCCCTCAGCGGCCCCGTGACCTCCACTTGGTTTCCAGCCAGCCCACGGAGTTGGAGGTGGCTTGGACCCCAGGCCTAAGTGGCATCTACCCTCTCACCCACTGCACCCTGCAGGTAAGACCTCAGACTTGACTCCCCTCAAATCTCAATCCTCCTCCTTCTACCCATCCCCTCAAACTCTCCTCCTTTCCCTGGGACACTAGCCTTTCTCCGCTATTCATGTGTCGTTGTCGAGAGGCAGGAGAGCCGAGCCAGATGTCCTGGGTTCAAATCCAGAACCACTAGATTCAAATCAAACCAAAACGATACTCCTCACCTCCTTAGATGCCCATTAGAGCCAGTACTTGATTCATCAGAGCTCTCTGTCTTATAATCACGTGCCCTGGAGACAAACTCACTCCCTTGACATTTCAACCCTAGACGCTTGTGGCTGTTAATCTTCTCATTTTCAAATAAGGAACTGAAGTGCTGCCCTCTCCAGTGGCTAGAAAGGGTAAACAGATTCAATCCCGAAGGCCGGGCCCATTCAGGAGACCTTAAATGCCAGGTCAGGCATCAGCTGTGCCCCAGGCCACATCCCTCTAATGGCCCAGGAAAGCAGAAGCGACCCCTGTTCCCTCTCCACGTCTCACTTCCTGCTGTGCACCAGGCTGGGGCTGAAGTTTGCAATGGAGGGTCAGCACCGTCCCAGAGAAAAGAGAAGTGGGAATGGGCATGGGGAGGCAGCTGCCTGCGCCCCAGTCCACTTGACCAGCCGAGGTTCCCTTTCCCAGTTTTCACTGCAGGTCAGAGAGCAGGCACGGGGACAGCATCCCCCACCCCCGCATTCTTACACCCGCCATGTGTCCACCTGCGCCCCAGCCCTCATGGTGGTATCTCTCCCCACACAGGCACTGTGTAACTTTGGACAAACTGCTCAACTTCTCTGGGCCTGTTTCCTAGACTGCAAAGTGGGACTGAGTAAAGAGAGTGACCTTTAGGGTGTCAATAAGAAGTCAGTGAGTTCACGGATGAGGTGCTTAGTACATAGTTGGCTCTCGAGAAATGTGAGATCCTGATATGCTATGGCAATCCATTTAACCTGCATTGTGCCTTTAAGCCATAAACCCTGCCAGATAAGGACTCTCGGATGCCCATGTTGCAGAGACAGAAACTCGCTCTAGGTCACACAGCAAATAAGATCTAAGCTAGGACTTGGACCCAAGGAATCTGGCTTCAGAGCCCACACCCTTACACAGTAAACTCCTTCCCTACACAGTGTGGCAGTGCGCCTGGGGCTCCTGGCTGCTCCCCAAAGTGAAGACAGAACCCCAGAGGCTGGTGGCTGTGAGTTGTATGCCCTTGGTGGATCTGTGGCTCTGTGCATCAGGCCTGTACAGATGTGTTTCCCAGCATGTCTGCCCCCATTCTGATCATACCATTCCTAGGGACCAGGCAGGTGTGGAAGCCTCTGCTGTTATTTGACTTTTGTTGCCAGTCAACCTCACAAATACAAATGACAAACACTCAGCGTGCACAGGCACGCTTATGAATGCTAGTGAGCACCATTTCCATCAATTCGGAGAAGTGGGGAGCCACTGGTGTGATCCCATTTCACAAAGGGGGAAACTGAGGCACAGAGCTCAAGAACAGTGGAGGCTGAGGTTCAGCCTGAGCTCACCAGCACTACCGCACTGCCTCTCTGTCCTTAAGTCCTCAAGGGACATTCCCATTGTAAGTAGGGCAGAGGCTGTGGAGACAGGATGGGGCTCAGGTCCCAGCTTCATCGTGACAAGCCGTGACCTTGGGTGGGTGATTCCATCCCTCTGAGCCTCGGTATTCTCATCTGTCAAATGGGGATAAGCAATGTCTCCCGCAGGGCTGAGGTGAGGGTCTTCAGAGCTCGGCTTTGCAAAGGGCTCTTTTCTTTCGGTTTGTTTTTTGTTCAACTAAGATATACCAAGTGCATGATCTTCAGTGTGCGCCTACATTGCTTCGCACACACATCCACCCATCTAATCTCCTCCAAATCAAGATGAAGGGCCTTCCCAGCCCCGCCCCCCAGGATCGCTCAGCTCCCAGCGATGACTTTCTCTTCATTTCTGTCCTGGACTTTGCTCTTGCCTGGATTGATGGTAACGGTTGACGCTGACTGCCTGCTGGGCCCTGCGCAGCTGTCCTACACTTCCTCTTCAAGCAGCCTTGTGAGGTCTTTGCTCCATGAAGTCCCATTTTCCAGAAGAGGAAACTGAGGCTCAGAAAGGGACAGTCTTGCCAGAGGTGGCCTTTACAAGTGATGATAGTCACGCTGTGCAGCCAGGTGGCCTCCTGGTTTACACATCAGGGTGCCCATGTTGTACTGGCATGGAGCTGCATTTCACACACACATGCACATGCGTGCATACTGGCAAGATTGTGTAGTCACACTAGGTCTGCCACAGCAGAGGGTTGTGTGACTCACACCTGTCATCACGTGGCCATCCCGCCCTCATGCACCCCCCTCTCTCCCCAGGCTGTGCTATCGGACGACGGAGTGGGAGTCTGGCTGGGAGAGCCAGACCCCCCGGAGGAGCCCCTCACCTTGCAGGCCTCCGTGCCCCCTCACCGATTTCGGCTGGGCAGGCTCCATCCTCACACCCCTTACCACATCCGAGTGGCGTGCACCAGCAGCCAGGGCCCCTCACCCTGGACCCACTGGCTTCCCGTGCAGACCCCGGAGGGAGGTGAGAAGGGCTTGGGGGCTGGGCAGGCAAGAGGTGCTGTTCACTGCCACGCTGGACCTTGCTCACATCAGTGCCACCCCCAGCGTCTCCTCTCACCCATTCACCCCATGTGGCTTGCAACTCCTTTCAGCCCCTGCCCCTCTACCGGCCCCTGCCGTCTCTCCCTCTCCCTGTGCTTCTGCTCACGGGACGCCTGCCACCCATGCTCATGCCTTGGCACTCCACCCCCACTTCCTGGGGAGAGGGGTGAGGGTCAGGAAGAGATGGGGGTGCCAGCTTCCCCTCTTCCCTGTCCTCCAGTGCCCCTGGGCCCCCCCGAGAACGTTAGCGCCATGCGGAATGGGAGCCAGGCCCTCGTGCGTTGGCAGGAGCCAAGGGCATCCCTGCAGGGCACCCTGTTAGGGTACCGGCTGGCCTATCGAGGCCAGGACACCCCTGAGGTGGGTGCTGCTGGCTGGGTTGGGGGGAGGGTGTGGGGGAGGAGATGACAGGTAGACCTGGACAGTGGTGCAGCTGGGTAGCTGCCAATCCTGCTCCACCCAAGCTCAAGGGACCCAGGAGAGGGTTAGGGAGTGGCCATCTGCAAATCACACAGGAAGCATTTCAGGTTACCATAGTTACCGCGACACTTCACAGCAGGTCTCTGTACAGCTTCTGGGGATTTGCTGAGCAAGCACCACCCTGAGGTGGAGAGATAGGGTGGGGAAGAGGTGGGAAGTTAGAAGGGGATGGAGATAAGAAGGTGAGGAGGTGGGAGTTCAGTTCTTCAACAGAAATGCTGTGTGCCACATGCATGGTGCTGGGGCTGGACGGCCCAGCGGCCAAGGAGACAGTCCAGTGCCAGCCTGGGGGAGCTGACATTGTCATGGCCGTGGGGGTGGAAAATGGAAGGGAAAGCAGGGGAGAGATGATGGCTAGCTCCAGGTAGGGGTTGTGGGTTAGAGGACACAGAGGGCTTTGAGAAAGACAGCAAGTTGAGGCTGAGTGTCCCGGGCCTCTGTCCTGACGTCACCTCTGAACATCCCAGGTGCTCATGGACATAGGGCTAAAGCAAGAGGTGACTCTGGAGCTGCAGGGAGGCGGGACCGTGCCCAACCTGACGGTGTGCGTGGCAGCCTACACCGCCGCCGGGGATGGGCCTTGGAGCCTCCCGGTGCCCCTGGAGCCCTGGCGCCCAGGTAACTCCAAAGCCTTCCTCAGCCCCTTCAGCCTCGCCATAGGCCCTTGTCTCTCGGGTGCCCCTGACTTGCCCTGGGTTACCCCAGTCTAGGCTCTGTTCCTGTCCTGATCCTGACTGAGAGCTTTGCTCCCTCACCCGTGTCGCAGCAGTCTTGGCCTCTCTGAGCATGTCCCCTCTGTCCTTTCTCCTCACAGGGCAAGAACAGCCAATCCACCAGCTGGGTAAGGGTTTGCACATCCCTTCTCTCCCCCATTTCTCCAACACCATACTCATGCTCTTTGCGCATCCTTTTCATGTTTCTCAACCTCATCACTCTAAGCCTCTGCTTAATGGGGTTGCCCGGAATGGTGTAGCACATTTTAAGTAGCTGGTAAATGGTGGGTGGGTGGGTAGATGCATGGATGGATGGTGGGTGAGGGGATGGATGGGTGGGTGACTGGGTAGGTGGATGGATGGGTAGATGGATAGACAAATAGATGAGTTCCCCCCCCCCATATCTGTCCCTCTCAAATATTCTCTAACAATTCTCTAACTTTCCTTCTATTCCCATTTTACCCTCCTAGCACTATCACAACCTACCTCTTATAACTCAACCCACTATCCTAAACTATTCCTCACGCCGTCCCATGCTTCTTTGCAAACCCTTTCCACACAAATCCCACTTTACTTTCATGTTCATCATACTATAATTTTTCATTCCTCACACATCCCTTCCACACTTCTCATTCACAAATTCTGCACCCTGTTTACATACTTACCATCCATTCCCCATATTGCAGACACTGAAAAACTTTCAGTCCACACCATCCCACACACTACAACTCTTCTTGCACACTCACCCCACACTCCTTAAAACATTACTCCCCAGGGCTCCCTGGTGACGCAGGCGGTTGAGCGCAGCGCTGTGAAGCTGTCCCCCGCCTCTGCAATGCCATTTCGATCCCTGCCAGCCTCGGAGCAACCCACATGGCGAGCAACCTCTCCTGTCTTGCCCGCTGCTCCCCTCAGCAGTGTACTTTGTCAGTCTGCCTGTTCTATTCCCCGCTCTGTCTCTGATGAATCCTCTCACCCTCCCGCGCATCTGGCCTGTATCCTGGCTCTTGTATAAATAAAATAAATCTTAAAAAAAAAATTACTCCCTCACCCCTTGCCAGGCCTAACCTCGTCCACTCTGCATACACGTGCACCAACTCCTGTACACTCATCACCTGTTCTTCATTCCTTACACACCCACTCCTCCCTTTTTGCATGCCCTTCCCAGTCATCCCATATGCCTCACCTGCCTTTCCCAACTCTTTTTCATGCTCATTACATACTCCTCTTACCCTAAAGTTACTTCCTTACAAATCCCTGCTCACTCCTCTTATCTAAAACTCCTTGAACAGGACAGCTCTTGTCCTTTAAGACGGAGCGTCAGTGTCTCTGCAGGCACACTGCTCTCTTTTTCCCTTTTTCTCTTTTCCTTAATAAACTTGCCATGTGGGAAAAAATAAAAATAAACAAATAAAACTCCTTGAACACGCCTCACTCAACACACTCCAACTCCGCTGACACTCTGCGCACACCCACCCTGCCCCTTTGCACATTAATTTCATTCTCATTTCTTGCTTTATGAAAACATTTCCAGAGCCATGGCACAAACCTCAAAGATATTCCTTGGAACCTCACTCCCCTGCACACTCATTGCACGTGCCTCACACACTGGCCCTACACTAGTGCATTCTCTCCCTTAGTCAGCTGTTTTTCCACATCCAAGACTGCCCGCCTTGTACTGCTTGAGATTTACTCACATGCTTCCCCTGCTCCTCCAGGCCTCCTTACAGACCTATGACCCGTTCCACACACACGTCTCTCACTCCCGTTCCCCTCCTCAGATGTGCATCAACTTCTTAGCCCAGCCCACTTACCCTACAAGTTTCAGCTCTCACTTAGTGCACACTAGTGTCACCTCCGTTGTGGTCCCCTGGGACATGTGAGCGCACCTATCCCCTGCCTCACCAAACACCTTCAAGTGTGCCTCTCTCCACCATCACCCCCTTGGGTCCCTGGGAGCTGGATCCGGGGCCTCAGCCATGACTTGGCCTCCCTGCCCCCTGACAGTGAGTGAACCCCCAGCCCCGGCCTTCTCGTGGCCCTGGTGGTATGTGCTTCTGGGAGCAGTTGTGGCCGCTGCCTGTGTCCTCATCTTGGCCCTGTTCCTCGTCCACCGACGGAAGAAGGAGACCCGCTATGGGTGAGTTGGAACTACACAGGTAGGAAGGCTAATGAGGACCGGAGTGCTCCCTGGAGGAGGAGGCAGGTGCAGAGGAGAGATGATCAAAAATCGGAATGAGGGCAAAGGTGTGGGGAATGAATGGAGGGCAGAAGACAGCAGCCAAGGCATGCTTAGCAGACACTGAAGGAGAGACAGGCGGGCTTGGGGCCAGGCTGGTGCACTCGTCCACTGCCGCTGGGAGGAGGGCTTCCACACGGGGTGCCCTGTCCTCACCTCTCCACTCCTCCCCAGAGAAGTGTTTGAGCCAACGGTAGAGAGAGGCGAGCTGGTGGTCAGATACCGCGTTCGGAAGTCCTACAGTCGCCGGACCACTGAAGCCACCTGTAAGTGAACTTTTTATGCCTCCCCGCCCTGGTCTGGAGCTCGAGTGTGGTGATGTGTGCCTTGTGGGCTTCTGTAGGATGCAGGAACCAGGTTTTTCTGACAGCCTTGGGCTACTGCTAGAACCACAGAGCCTAAGAAAAACTGTGGCATCACACGGACACTTAGAAGAACAGAATCTTAGACGCAGTCAATCTCAGAAACACCAAAACTCAGAGCCACGGGACCTAGAACAATGTAATCATGATAGTGCTGGCGATAAAGAGGAGGAGGAGGAGGAGGAGGAGGAGGAGGAGGAGGAGGAGATGATGATGACATGGTTATAGATGCTCGCGATAAAGTATGCTGAGGTATGATGATGATTCGGACTCAGCCCAAGCACCTTCCATGCAGCAGGTGGTATTCTAAGTGGGTATACATATCACAGTTTAATCCTCACACCCATTTCAAGAAAGCTGTGGCACAGAGTAGTTAAATTAAGTAACTTGTTCAAAGCCACAGAGCTTGCAGGCTGGAGAGCTGGTACTTGAACCCAGGCAGCTTGGCTCTGAGATGCATTCACTTTACTGCCTGTTGGAATTATTTTTTAAAGATTTATTTATTTATGCATACAAGAACTGGGGTATAGGCCAGAAGTGTGGGGGTGAGAGGATTCACCAGAGACAGAGTGGGGAGCAGAACAGGCAGACTGACTGAAACACACTGCTGACGGGAGCAGCGGGCGAGACAGGAGAGGTTTGCTGTGCCATGTGGGCTGCTCCCTGGCCGGCCAGGGATCAAACTCGTGCTGCAGAGGCTGTGGATTGCTTCACAGTGCTTGTGCCAGCAGGGAGGCCTGCCTGTTGGAATTGTAGAACATTACGAAGGGAGAACTAATCGTTGCTGAAAAGATTAGTTTCAGTACTATAATCCCTAGAATATCGTAGACTTTTAGAACTATAGACTCTTTAAGAGGATTGTAGAGTTATGAGGGGCCCCAGTTAAGGAGGGATCTCAGAGAGACACCCGCCCCCCCACCCCCAATTGCCAACCAAATCTCTTCATCTTTCCAGTTGGGAAAACTTAAATCCAGAAAGGAAGGGAGAGTGAGGTCTCCCCTCGTGCAGTGCAAGGGCTGTCAGGGCCCTGGGGAGATGTCCGGAAGGGGCTGGGAAAGACATTTAAGAGAAGGAAGAGGAAGGAGGAGGTCACAGTGACCTAGCGGATAATACGGAGCAGCAGTTCCCGAAGTGTGATGTGAGTCCCTGGGGGTCCCAAAACCTGTGCAAGGGTTTCTTAAGGTCAGAACAATTATTTTTTTTGGACTTTTTTTTCTTTTCTTTTTTTAAGATCAGAACTATTTTTATAATAATACTGACATTTTAGGCGCCCTTTTGCACTCTCGTTCTCTCACGAGTGTTCCATGGAGTTTTCCAGAGGCTTCCCAACCTGTGATGACGTCGTCATGGTGACGGAGTGTGTTCTTGTGTTTTTCCTCTGTTTAAAAATCCATCTGTTCTGATTTTGTTGTTGTTGTTTTTAAAGATTTATTTTATTTATTTATGCATACAAGAGCCCGGGTGTAGGCCGGAGGTGCAGGGGGCGAAGGGATTCACCAGAGACAAAGTGAGGAACAAAACAGTCAGACTGGGGGCCTCCCCTGGTGTCTCAAGGGGTTAAGACGCAGCACTATGAAGCTATCCGCAGCCTCTGCAGCATGAGTTCCATCCCTGGCCAGGGAGGTGACCCACATTTCGTAGCAGACCTCTCCTGTCTCTCCCGCTGCTTCCCTCAGCAGTGTATTTCAACTGCCTATTCTGCTCCCCACTCTGTCTCTGGTGAATCCTGTCACTCCCTGGATCTCTGGCCTGCACCCCAGCTCTTGTATGCACAAATAAATAAGACTTTAAAAAAAAAAAAAAAAACAGTTGGACTGACTGAAATACTCTGCTGAGGGGAGCAGTGGACAAGACAGGAGAGGTCAGCTGCGCCATGTAGGCAGCTCCCTGGCTGGGGATCTACCTCGTGCTGTAGTGGCTGCCAATAGCTTTATAGTGCGGAGACTTAACCCCTGTGCCACCAGGGAGGCCCCTGTTCTGATTTTGAAGACGGTAAATGTCCCTCTCTATAACCCACCTATGCAAAAGTTTGAGTGGCCACACAGCAGTAAAATGAGTAAGTTACAGCTGTGCACAACCAAAATTATCTCAAAGACATCACATTGCATGAAAGAAGCCAGGCACGAAAGAGAACATGCTATGTGATTTCCTTGGTTGTAAGGAAATGGAGAAGACTGATTTGTGGTTAAGAAGAGTCAGCGGGCCTCCCTGGCGGCGCAAGGGGTAAAACAACGCACTGTGAAGCAATCCACAGCCTCTGCAGCATGAGTTCAATCCCCGGCCAGCCAGGGAGCAACCCACATGGCACAGCAGACCTCTCCTGCCTCTCCCGCTGCTCCCGTCAGCAGTGTGTTTCAGTCAGTCTGTCTGTTCTGTTCCCCACTCTGTCTCTGATGAATCCTCTCACCCCCCACATCTCTGGCCTGTACCCCAGCTCTTGTATGCATAAATAAATAAATCTTTGGGAAAAAAAGTCAGCAAGGTGGTCCCCCCAGAAGGCCAGCCATATTCTGTTCCTGACCTGAGTGCTAGTGATTTGTTGTGTACGGTCTTTGCACAACCCATGGGGCTGCTCATGTACCATTTGTGCACATTTCACCTCAATAAGAAGTAAAGGAATATTTTTAACAACTGGTATGGCAGGATGTCCGCCAACAGGTACCCACTGGAAAAGATTACATGCCAGGCTTTTTAAAAATTTTTTTAAGAGTTCATCTTTTTTTATAAATATTTTTAAAACTTATTTTGAAGATAACAATGAGGTTTACATTGTTGCTTGCGTATTAGAAGTATAGAATTTCCCCCTCAGGTGCCGTTACCACACTATACCCACCACCAAGACACCTGTAGTCCTCCACCATAGTCCTTTGTGCTCCCTCCCCATCTTGTGCCCCATTTCCTTCCCCTCAGGTAGCTTCTATAGTCAGCTTTCTAGGGTTACTTCTTAGTTTGGCCTTATCTGACCTTCTGTTTGGTTTCTCTATATTCCATACATAAGTGATACCATTGGTATTTGTCTATCCCCTTCTGACCTGTTTAACTTAGCATCATCATCTTCAACTCCATTCATATTCCACAAATGGCAGGAGTTTAGCTTTTTGATCACCAAGTAATATTCCATTGTGCATCTATACCACATCTTCTGGATCCATTCTTCTATATTTGAACCCTTAGATTATTTCCATACTTTGTAAATAATGCTCAAATGAGCATTGGAGGCCATGTTTCCTTTAGAATTAGCATTTTTGTATTGTCTGGGTAGATGCCTAGGAGTGGAATTGCTGGCTCAAGTGGTAGATCCATTTTTTTTTTTTTTTTTTTTTTTTTTTTTTTTTGGTAGATCCATTTTTAACCCTTTGAGAAACCTCCATACTCTTCTTGATTGGGTTTGGACCAGTCTACATTCTCACCAGCAGTGTAAGAAGGTTCCCTTTATTCCATATCCTCACCAGCACTTGTTTTTGATCTAAGTTTTAATTAACTCTTTAGTTGCTGCTCTGAGGGAAGATTCAGGGGCTCCGGGGGGGATCTCAGGTGGGCGTGGGCCTTCTCCAGGTGGTACCTCTTTTTGAATAGCGGAGGTATTGCAGTATTTCAAGACTGGGTCTATGCCTATTGGTGAGTGTCGCCTGAATGCCAGGCCTGGTCCATGCTCCCTCCACCCTCACCTTCTGCAGTGAACAGCCTGGGAATTAGTGAAGAGCTGAAGGAGAAGCTCCGGGATGTGATGGTGGATCGGCACAAGGTGGCCCTGGGGAAGACCCTGGGGGAAGGTGAGTTCCCCCAGCACACACATGTCCCCTCAACCCCAAAGTCCTCCACTTCCCTGCCTAAGCGCAATCACAGGCTTGGGTCCCACGGGACCCTATGAGGTCCATGTCTTCCTCTGGTCCCCCACAGGAGAGTTTGGAGCTGTGATGGAGGGCCAGCTCAACCAGGACGACTCTGTCCTCAAGGTGGCAGTGAAGACAATGAAGAGTAAGTCTGTGAACACGTGTGTGACCTCAGGCCCTTTCCCTATGCCCCTAAGGAGACAGAAAAGCGGAAAAGCTAATGGCAAGTTAGCCCGGACCATTGAGCCTCAGTGTTTCCGGACAGGAGATGGCGTCCTTGCCACGTCCTTCAACAGGAGGGATTTCATAGGGGGGCATTATTACAAAGGACAGAAGGGAGGGCTGAAGGGATGACTGGGGGAAGTGGCAACCTAGAGGCTAGCAGCAGAGGTGAAGGCAGACTTTCACTCTTGGGCTGAAGGGCAGAGGGAGGAAGTGGTATTGCCAGAGCGCACAGTTAGGGACCCCTGATGGGATTTGGGAATTACTATCTAATTGGACTTTAAACACAAAGGAGACACAGCTCCCATAAGACAACATAGGAAGCAAGTAAGGGTGCGATACCCTGGTTTCCCCCACCTCTTCCCACCCACCTGCTAATCATCCACCAGTGCTTCCCATTGGCAAGCACCAACAGGAAACCCATAGGACAGGGAACCTGGGAAATGTAATTTTTCAGGGACCAGCCTCTAATAATACAAAGCAGACTAGGGGACGATCCAGAATGAAGCCCACCTGACTTTATTATTTACGAGCTGTGTGATCTCAGACAAGTGACTTTCCCTCTCTGAGCCTCAGTTTCCTTCTCTGGAAAATCAGATCTTCATGTTCCTACATCCTAGGTTGTTATGAGGTAAAACACTTAATGCCTGGGATGACGGGCAATATGTGCAATTAATGTGGATTCCAACTATATTATTTATATCATCAGAATTGGTGGGAACCAGTTCAGGATCACACAGCACAGGAAGCTCAGTGCCATGTCCTTTCCAGACAAGGAAGAAACATAAAGAGTCAGATTGGAGCTGGTGAAATGATTTTTTTGTCCATCACAGATGCTAAAAGCAGGGACTGTGGAGTCATTGCCCATTCATTCATTCATTCATTCTTGACCTAGGTTATTTTCTTTTATTTTTGTTTTTTTTTAAAGATTTTTATTTATTTATTTATACAAGCACTGGGTACAGTCAGAAGTGCGGGAGGGTGAGAGAATTCACCAGAGCCAGAGTGGGGAACAGAACAGGCAGACATGACGAAATACACTGCTGAGGGGAGCAGCGGGCGTGGCAGGAGAGGTCTGTCGTGCCATGTGGGACCCTCGCTGGTGGCTGGGGATCGAACCCGGCTGGGGATCAAACCGGCGCTGCAGAGGCTGCGGGCAGCTTCGCAGCCCCGCGCTCAACTGCTGCGCCACCAGGGGAGGCCTTAGGTTATTTTTGACCTGGGTTTGAATCCCGGCTGTTTGCCCTTAAGGCAAGTACTTAGCTTCTACAAACCACAGTGTCCTGAACTATAAAATGGGGGTGATCATATGACTATCTGGGGATCATACAGACACCCAGATTTGTTGCGAATGTGCTGGGAAGCAGTCAGCAGTGCCTGGGGGTGTGGGCACTGACCTGGGAGTCATGCTGACTAGGTTTGAATTCTGCCTGTTCCACTTGCAAGCAGAAAGTTTAAGGCAGGTTCCTTAACCATTCTGTGCCTTGGTTTCTCCATCTTTAAAGTGGAGACAGTAATAGGAGTTCCTCGGAGCAGTAAAAGGTTAGCTGAGTTCACATATGTAAAGCACTGAGGACAGCATGGGCACTTACACGTTTGATGAAGATAAAGAAGATCTGGTGGTGGTGGTAGTGGAGGTGGTGGTGGTGGTGATGGAGAAGGGGAGGAGCAGGAAGCTGGAAGGAGCACTTCCTCTCTCCAGGCAGCCTTCTCCACTTTCCTCTCTCCGCAGTTGCCATCTGTACGAGGTCAGAGCTGGAGGACTTCCTGAGTGAGGCTGTCTGCATGAAGGAATTCGATCACCCCAATGTCATGAGGCTCATCGGTGAGGGAGGGGCAGTTTTAGGGGGTTAGGGAAGCCACCCCAGAGAGAAGCTAGAAGGATCAAACCTCCAGTCCCTTCTCCCTGGAAGTCACAAACTCCCCCTTCTTTCTTTCCCTCAGTTTGGAATGTGACCTCTGACCTTTCCCAGAAATAGCTGAGGTCCCCAGGAGGGCTCAGAAAACATCCCTGGGAACCAGGCTGGACATGGCTTCTCTGAAGCTTGGTTCTTGCCATCCCTGCCCCCACAACAGGGTGAAAGCCAGCCTTTAGAGGGAGGGAGAGGCAGAGCTGGGAGAGGGGGTGGCTGCCCCTTCTGCCCAGTGGAGTGACAGGGACACCTGGGGGTTCAGGCGTCTGTTTCCAGGGATCCGAACGTGAGGGCTTCCCCGCACCTGTGGTCATCCTCCCTTTCATGAAACACGGAGACCTGCACAGCTTCCTCCTCTATTCCCGGCTCGGAGACCAGCCAGTGGTGAGGGGCATTTAATCGTCCAGTGCACAACATTAATTGAGCACCTTCCAGGTACCCGGGAAGACCAGGAGACACAGAGCTTGCTCTCCCAGAGCTGGCGTCCAGTGGGAGGACAGAGACGACAAACGTATCAGCAAACAGATGAGCAAGATCCTCGAAGTGCTAGGCAGGAAATAGAGTAGGCTGAGTGACAGGGAGTGGGGATTTGTTTGGGTGGACAGGCCTCCCTTAGGAGGTGACCTTGAAGGAGCAGCCCCTTGGGGGGAAGTGGGAGGATCTGGTAGGACTCAATCCCAGCAGAGAGCACAGCATAGGCAAAGGCCTCGGAGTGTAACTGGTGTGAGGCCCAGAAAGGAGGCACACACTGGAGAATATGTCAAGGGCAGGAACAGTAGGAGCAGGGGCCTTGCTGGAAAGAGGTTGGATTTTTTTTTTTTTTTAAGATTTGTTTTTATTTATTTATGCATACAAGAGCCGGGGTGTAGGCCAGAGGTGCGAGGCGGGGCTGGGGCGAGGGCGGTGTGAGGACTCACAGAGACAGAGCCGGGGAGCAGAACAGGTGAATCTACTGAAAGACACTGATGAGGGGAGCAGGGGGTGAGTCAGGAGAGGTCTGCTGCGCCATGCGGGTCAGCTCCCTGGCCGGGTATTGCACTTGTGCTGCAGTGGCTGCTGATGGCTTGATAACGCTGAGACTTTAACCCCTGTGCCCCGAAAGAGGTTGGATTTAATTCTCAGAGCCAAAGGGAGCCACTGCAGGTAGAGATAGGCACACCCAGGAAGGGAGGGAGGGATGGATCAAGGGGACTCCCTGCTCTCTCCCCCCCTCAGTTCCTGCCCACTCAAATGCTGGTGAAGTTCATGGCGGACATTGCCAGTGGTATGGAGTATCTGAGTACCAAGAGATTCATACACCGGGACCTGGCAGCCAGGAACTGCATGTGAGTGTCCTCTTCCGGGAACCTGCTTCCTCAGGGAGCTCTTCTTCCCAGGGTGGGAGAGGGGACTAGGCACACACGCCCTGGGTCAGTCAAAACTCAGAGGGCAGAGAGGTCAGCCAGGGAGTTAGGGAAGGCTTCTTGGAAGAGATGGGCCTTGACTGAGCTCCTGAAGGAGTACTTGGATGAGGAGAAAGAAGCAAGAGGGTGGCTCCATGAGCAGCATGAGGTGAGCAGAATGAGGAGACCAATGAGGGTGGTGGCCTTGGAGCTTCATCTCTGTCCCCCTTTGTGCTGAGTGTTTTTTTGGGGGGGAAGGGGCTGGCCTTAGGGGTGGCCCATCACCACCCCTCTAACCCCCTGCCAATGGACAAGAGAAAATAGGCCAGAACCAGGGCTAAGGTGAGGAGGGGGCTGCAGAACCAAAGACTTAGAATATTAATTTTACAACAGTGCTGGACTCACAGAAACAGCTGGAGAATCAAAGAACCTTCTTGAAGGCATGAATGTTCACAGCTCTTGGGAAGTTGGAAATGTCTTTACTTCCCTTAACTTTTTATTTTGAACATTTCTAATCCTGCAGAGATGCTGAAAGAATTGAGCACCATATACCCTCCTTATTGACGTGTTGGTACATTTCTCTTCTCATTCTTTCCCTCTCTCTATTCAACTCTGTTTGGTTGTTTATTTCCTTCAACAATTTCAATGTAAGTTGCCCTCATGGTGATACCTCACCCCTGAATCTTTAAAGTAGATATCTCCTAAGAATAAGGACTCACACCTAAACACCTAAAGAATCACCATTCTGTTATCACACCTAACAAGACTAAAAAATATTTATTGTGTTATCCTGCTTCCAATCCATATTTAAATTCTCCCAGTTTTCCAAATTTCTCTTAGGGCTATTTTGCCCCCCAAAACCAGGATCTATTCAAGGTGCTCACAGTGCATTTGGTTGCTGTGTCCCTTTACTTTTAATCTAGAATTGATACCCCCTCCAAACACACACTTTTTCATGACATTCTTTTTTTAAAAAAAGATTTTATTTATTTATGCATAGAAGAACTGGGGTACAGGCCAGAGGTGTGGGGGGTGAAAGGATTCACCAGAGACAGAGTGGGGGGCAGAACAGGCGGATCTACTGAAATATACTGCTGAGGGGAGCAGGTCTGCTGTGCCATGTGTGGGTTAGCTCTCTGGCGAGGATGGAACTCAGGCCACAGCACTGATATGCTGAGACTTAACCCCTAGGCCACCAGGGAAGCCCCGTCTCTTCTTTAGGAAGAGACCAGGACAGTTCTTCTGCAGGACATCCCATGTATAAGATGTGTGCGTTTCCTTATGGTGGCTTTTGACTTGTTCCCCTGTTCTCTGTATTTTGTGTTCACTGAAAAGTAGATCTGAATGTTTAAATAGAGTCAGTCAAATGGAAATTCCTTTATTTCTGTCAATCAGGCTGATCCTGCTCAAACCCCAACATTAATAATGAGAGTGGACAATCAACTGTTATGCATGTAGTTAACATCCTCCCATGGTTCCCTACTCCTCTAGAGGGTACAAGTACAGAAACACCTGTCATAAAAAAAACATGTCATACTTTCCAGTTAGTGGTTCAAATACTGAAATATTTCAAATAGCAGCTGGCAATTGGCCACTACCCCACATCTCCCATGTGCTTCACAGCCACCAACCTGGTAGTCTGGATGTCCCTGGACCTCACAGTTAGAGTTAACTCATGCAACATCAGGGTCCTCCAGGGTCTGTTTTGATTGGTCATTCCCTAAGCCTGCGACCCTGATTAGGGACTCTCAAGTCTTAAAAAAAAAAGCGTTCAAAAACTCAGGTGCTAGAGGTAGGGAATCTGCTACCTAAGTAAAGCACAAAAACAATCCAGGGTAATCCCTGCTGTCAGAAGGTTGTGGTAATGCTTGGAGAGTAGTTACTAGAAGGGAACAGTGGGGACTGGTAATCTGTTTCTTTCTTTCTTTTTCATACTTAAAACAAATTGATGTCTATTTTATGTACACTAAAATACATGCATCTTATGTATACAGCCCCATGAATGTTTACATGGCTGTAGACCCATGTAAACTACCACCACTAGATCAAGAAGGTTCTGTGCAGGTTCTCTTATCCCCTTTCCTAGTCGCTGCCCCCAGAGGAGTAACCTCTAACCACTATTCTAGACTTCTGTCACCATCACCAGTTCTCAAAATGTCATATAGATGTAACCATGTTGTTTGTACTCCTTTGTGTCAGCTTCTTTTGCTCAGCATGATGTTTTAGAAATTATTCCATGCCATTGTGGATATCAAGAGTTCTTTCTTTTTCTTTGCTGTGTAGTATTCCTCACACAAATGCCCCACAATGTTCTGGGTGCTGGTTACTTGGATGTGTTTGTGAAAATCTAGTGAGTTGTTCACTTAAGATTTGTACATGTTTCTTTGTGTGTGTGTATGTGTGTAAATGTGTATATATATATAATTCAAGAAAACTGTTTAAAAAAAAACAAAAAATCGAACCCCAGGAGCTAAGGAAGGACCTTAGAATCTGGTGAAAAACCAGAACTGGGAGGACCCTCATCAGCCTTTTGTTCCACTCTCACTTTTTGGAGGGCATAAGAAGTAATCAGTTCCTGGGCCTACCTAGTGGGGCAAGGGGTTAAGCACTGTACTATGAAGCAATCTGCAGCCTCGGTAGCACAAGTTCAATCCCCGGCCAGGGAGCTAACCCCTGCTCCCCTCAGCAGTGTGTTTCAGTCAGTCTGCCTGTTCTGTTCCCCACTCTGTCTCTGGTGAATCCTCTCACCCCCCCGCACCTCTGGCCAGTACTCCAGTTCTTGTATGCATAAATAAATAAATCTTAAAAAAAAAAAAGTAAGCCGTTCCCCTTAGGCCTAGGGAATAAGGGGAGGCAGAGCCCCACCCTGCAAGCAGGGTGCGCCAGAGCAGGTGGTGGAGACAGGTCTGAGAGTGAGCTCAGGCTTCTTGCAGAGGCTGACGCCGTGACCCAGTTCCCTTCCAATCCCGGCAGGCTGAATGAGAACATGTCCGTGTGTGTGGCAGACTTCGGGCTCTCCAAGAAGATCTACAATGGGGACTACTATCGCCAGGGACGCATTGCCAAGATGCCGGTCAAGTGGATTGCCATCGAGAGCCTGGCTGACCGTGTCTACACCAGCAAGAGTGATGTGGTAGGTACACCCCTGACATGCGTGGGGAACAGTGGGCCTGCATGGCCTGATCAGCTCACACTGAGCTCCCAGGGCCACCCAGGCCAGGCATGTCTGGGGGGGCAGTGAGTGTCTATGAGCCATGGACATGTTGGGGATATGTACCTGCCATGGGCACATGGTGGCAGGTTCACGTGTGGGACGTGTGACAGTTTGGGTTAGGAGAGGCAGTGCTCAGCAGGTATACATGTGAACGGCGAGGACACAGAGAGTGACACACAAGGCTAGGGCTCTGTGAAGTGTGTAGATGTGTGCAAGCATAAGCAGGTGCACGCTCAACGGTAACTTGCGTGCGCCATAGGGTTTCTGTGAAACGCTGGCATGTGCTCTAATGATAGCTTGTGTATCCATGTGCATGTAAGTGTGTTGTCACGAACTCGTGTGTTGGGGGGTGTCTTTGTGCAGAAGAGATGCTCTAATTGTCTCTCCTCTGCCACCACAGTGGTCTTTCGGGGTGACGATGTGGGAGATTGCCACACGGGGCCAAACCCCATATCCAGGAGTGGAGAACAGCGAGATTTATGACTACCTGCGCCAGGGAAACCGCTTGAAGCAGCCTGTGGACTGTCTGGATGGACTGTGAGGACCCTTAGGATTCCCCACCCCCATTCCACCCAATCCCAGAAGCCACTGCAAAACCCTGAGCACTCTACATGGTCCTGACATATCCAGAACCCTCTAAAACCTGCATGGAGTCCCTCAGACTGTTGAGTAACCTACCACCCCCTCAAAATGCTCTGCAGGACCCTGCTAGCTAACAGGGTGTGAGTGATCAAACAGCACCTTCCCCTTCTCTGTTGTGAGCATGGAATGCTGGCTTAGCCCTTTGGCCAGGTATCCAAGGGCAGTGAAGAACAGCACACACTTAACTGGGGATCCTGCCTCTGAGATACCCTCTTCCAAAGTATTTGAAATCAACCCACTCTCCTGAGCACCGACAACTTCCTAAAAGGCTGTTGCAGAGGCCTGGACCTTCTGCAAAACCCTGTCGGTTGTATTGAGCGTCTCCAACTCTTGGGTGTTCTCAGGTGTCTTTAGGATAGTGCTATCTCACAGGACACCTGGAGAATTGCAGAGCGTTTATCCAGCCATTTGGGGGCCAAGAGAAGATGTTGCTCAGGTCAGGAGGAGATAGTCAGGGTCTTCAAACTTCCCAGGTTCTCCTTCTGAGATTCTAGATTCTAGATTCTGAGAGCCAAGGGGCATAACAGCTAATGTCTCTATAGAACTTACTAGAAGGCACTGTTGTAGGTGCTTTGCATGTCCTGACCACAGCCATAGGATGTAGGTAAGTATCATCATTCTTCCCATTTTGCAGATGAGGAAATTGAGGCCCACTGACAGGATAAATCATTTATCAAAGGCTGCATAGCTATACCCCCAAACCCAGAAGTTTAGAATAACTAGCTGTGTTGTTTCTGTAGATGAGGGGTCTAAGAACAATTCAGCAAAGTGATTCTGGATTGGGCTTTCTAACAAGGTAATAGTTAGGGTGTCAGATGGGGCTGCAGTCACTTGAAGGTTGAGAATGGATTATCACTTTCAAGGTGGCTCAGTCACATGGTCATGGCAGGCAGCAGACCATGGGGAACCCTCTATGGTGCCGCTTGAACTTCCTTACAGCATGGCTGCTGGCCTCACCCAGAGGAGACATTCAAGAGAAAGCACAAGGAGAAAGTCACTGAAAACTGTCACTGCTGCTGAGTCAGAATCCAGTGGAAAAATTCAACCCACATTAAAGGCGGGGGAGGAACATCAAAGAATTCGAACACATATTTTGAACCAACACAACTTGCAAGTGGCAGAGCCAGACTTTGATGCCAGAGTTTGTTTTTGGAGAACCACATTGGGAACCTCTGCTCTAACAGACCCTTACTAGAACACCACTCCCCACTGAGAGAGGTTTCCCGAGATCCTTTCCAGCTCCTGTGTATGCCAGCATGCCCCTCAGAAACTCTTGAGACTTCTCAAGTCCCCATAGATGCCCCCACAATGCTCCAGTCCCCCAAATCCTCCAATGTCCTAAAATGCCCCCAAACTCCCAGAATACTCCCCTTTTGAGCCCCTGCTCAGTCGCCCACCCCTCATTTTGCTGCCCTAGGTATGCCCTGATGTTCCGCTGCTGGGAGCTAAACCCCCGGGACCGACCAAGTTTTGCAGAGCTACGGGAAGACCTGGAGAATACACTGAAGGTTCTGCCCCCTGCCCAGGAACCTGATGAAATCCTCTATGTCAACATGGATGAGGGTGGGGGTCATTCTGAACCACTTGGAGCCTCTGGAGGAGCTGACCCCCCAACCCAGCCTGACCCGAAGGATTCCTGCAGCTGCTTCACCTCGGCTGAGGTCCATCCTGCCGGACGCTATGTCCTCTGCCCTTCTACAGCCCCTGGCCCCACCCTGCCTGCTGACAGGAGCTCCCCTGCACCCCCAGGCCAAGAGGATGGAGCCTGAGACAACCCTCTACCTGGGACTCTCTCTCAGGACCCAAGCTAGGCACTGCCACTGGGGGACAACCTTCCCCCCCTCAACTTTCTCCTGGCCTTACCTTCAACTGCAACCCTCCCCTTTCTGACCTATTTCACTTCCATCCAGGACAGATTCTTCCCCTTTTGCACACCTTCATGTCCCCATCCAGAAAAAGAAGGGGTTAGTTGGCAACCACTAAGGGTCTTCATTCCAAGATTCTAAAGTTTAAAGGGCCCAGCTTCAAAGGTTCTAGATTTCAAAGATGCTATGAGTTTTTGGTTCTAAGGACCCAAATTCCAAAGTCTCTGATTCTAAAGTGCTAAGGTTCTAGATGTGGAAGTTCTAAAGCCTACTATTCTAAGGCTCTGAGATGTTATGCTAGATTTTCAGAGGTTCTAAGATTGAAAAGCCCCTGAGGTTTTAGGTCCTAAAGCACAAAGATGCTAGTCCTAGGGTCTAAGACTCTATTATTCTAGATTTTACTTTTCTAGGATGCTGAGTCCTTAGGGCATAAGATTCTACAATTCTAAAAATTCTGCAATTCTAGACATGGACATACTAAGACCTAGTGCTCTAAAAGTTGATGTTCAGTGGCTCTTGGAGTCTAAGTGTTGTAGATGTAAGACCAGACCTTCAAGGTTTTATCTTCTCAAAGTTCTAAGCCTCTAATGATGGTCAACTAGAGGTTCTAGGTCTTTATGGCCCTCAAAACTCTTGTTATGGGCTCCTAGATCCTAAGATCTAGATTTTAGAATCTGCACTCCAGAAGTTCTAGAAGTCTATAGCTGGAGGTTCTAAGGTTTAATGTGATATTCCAAGACTTAGTCCAAGACCCAGGAGTTTCTAAGTGTCCAGATCCTATGCCCCAAGATTCTAGATTATTAAATTCTAAAATACTAATGTTGTTCTACTGCATGTTCCAAAGCACTCTAGATTCTTTTGGTCCAAGATTCTAGATCCGCAGTATATAAGGCATAAGACTCAACACTTACGACTAACTAGATACCAAAGTTCTAATCATTTCTAAGCTTGGACACCTTTAGGCCCTGTGCTGCATTCTGCCTTTCTAGATCTTTAATCAAGGGTCCAAATATCCACATTTCTAAGTCTTAAGATTCTAGACACTATAATTTTAAGATTCTAATATAAGATTCTCAAGGTCCACAGGTCTAGAAACCTAAGGTACAATTCCAAGGTTCTAACCTTATAGTATTTGTGTGTCTCTCCCTTCTTAGCCACCTCTCCTCCTCTCATGTGGGGGTGTGCCCCTCTCAAGCCTGTGCAATGAATTAGGGATCCCTCCTTTCCCCAAGGGGATGATCTCTCTCCTTTGGGGGCGTGCTGCCCCCCTGAGCCAGTCCCTCTTGCCCCCTGTACAGAATGTGGACTCTGGTGTCTCCAGAGGGGCTCAGATCACATAAAACTTTGTAACCATGCATCTGTCTTCTCTTGTCTCCACTCAGCTATAATGTGTCCACTCAGCTCTCCCTCATAACTCAATTTTCACCCATCAGTAGAAAAAGGGCTTGATGGGATCTAGAAGTTGACACCCCTGTCCCCAATGTAACAGACACAGGAATTAATGCATACACCCTGGCATAGCTGTCATGAATACAGACAGGGAAATTCACAGACACACAGAGTAACAGAGACATTCATAATCACACAGATAACAAACATGCACAGGCAGACACCAGAAACAGGAAGAAACTACAGCAACACAAATAGAAAAAGAGTGAAGTGACACTAATATACAGACAGAGAACACAATAGATACTCAGAGACCTAAACGTGCGGACTCACATAGACACACAAGCCCCGAACACCTCCGATCCTCACCAGCCCACAAAGGGACTCCTGTCAACACAAGCCCACTGTGTTTTGCACAGCATCTCAGGCACAAGCCCCTGGGTGTGTCCCGCAGCCGTTGGACGAACCCTAGGCAGCGCCCGAACGCCCCCAGGTGGCGATTCCTGAGAAGCAAGAGCAGTTCAATCCGGGCCACAAACTTTTTTTTTTAGAACACATCATTGTGGGAAGCTGGGTGGAGAGAGGAAGTCGGACGTGGGCGAGGGGAGGGGTGTCTGGACTGGAACCTCCGGGCCCACGTGAGTGTCTGTCCCGCCGCTGAGTGGGCGCTGTGTGTCTAGGTTGCTGTCGTGTAAGCTTCTCGTCTAACTGTCCAGTCGTCCGAATGCCTTCAGCATTTGATGCCGCCTGCCTGCGCGGACCGCTGCAGGCACACATACTCTGCACTCTGGTGCATTCGCCCCTGAACCGACGCATCCGACCCGACTCACGGCATCTGCTCGTGGAGGCTGTGTGTGCCTTTGTCTTAAGTAGAGGTTGCATATGACTTTCGTGGACTGAAGGCCCAGCTCCTGGGCAGCGGGCCTTTGCATTGTCTATCGCGATTGTCTAACTTACTGAAGTTTTGTGTCTTGGGATGAGAGGCGACAGGTGGTGCGGCGTGAGACGCCCCGCGATTCTCTGGCGTTTGCATTAGCGTGAAGCTTCACGACGGACCTGTGTGTGTGAGCTTGTCCGTACCGACGCCAAACAGCCAGATTTACTGCACAGCAGCTGAGGGGGCCTGGGGCGGAGGCCCGCGGGCCTCTGGAGGGCTTCCCGGAGGGGACGGCTCTGGGGGCGTGGAGTCCCCACGCCACGCGGGGGCCAGCCGGGGAGAAGGACCGCCGCGCGGCCACGGGCGCGCAGAGAGGCGCCCTGCGAGCTGCCCAATGCAAGTTCCTTTTCATAAAGGCAAATGAGCTTCTTCCAGATTAGGGATGATTTATCTATTCAGGCTCCATTTCGCCCACCTCCCTCGACAGCGAGCTTTGGGGGGGCGGGCCCCTGAAGAACGGCCAATCTGGTTAGGTTTTCCGAAAGCGACCCAACTGTCCTAGCGTGGGTGAGATAAAACGACAGCTGCGATTGGTGGATAGATTGTTTTGAAACCGCCCTAACGGCAAGGGGCGGGTCCTCGGTCAATTCATCTCTTTCCGGTTTCTTAAAGGCAAAAGTGGGAGGAGGGGTTTCTGCCGACCCTTCATAGGATTGGTTCGAGTGGTTTTACCGCTTGGGCCTCTCTAGGGGCGGGAGATCTAGACCAATCAGGATTTACATTACAGAGACACTCGTTTGATGTAAGGACTGCGCAGGAAAAGCCGTGTGCGCGGGGGAGCTTATTCTGAGATCGCATCTCTGACTGGTCCAAGTTCTTACTCCCCTTTCCTCATTTGACCCTACAGGAGCGGGCGCGCGGGCGCCATCCAATCAGCGCGCGCTCCGCCCCCCGCCTTTTCCCGCCCTCCGTTCCGGCCGCGGCATCGACGTAGGCCAACGCTTCCTCCTCGGCAGCTTCAGAGCCCTTTCACTGCCTTTCTTTTGAAAGCCGCGCTCTGATTAGCTGAATCTCCGGGCTCGCGCCCGTTGCCCCCAAGCGATGGCCAATTGACTGCCGTGTTGCATCGCACGGGGCCACAGAGGAGGGGGAGGTGGCGGCGGCGGCCATTTTGAGCCGCCGCCGCCATTGGAGTGGGCCCCCCCCCTTTCCCCCTTCGGCTCCTGACAGGAAAGGTTTAAGGGGGACAGAGCCCTGGGAGGCCGGGCCGGGCTCGGGGGCCGCCCCGGGGGCCCGGGCCATGGATGTGCGCCGTCTGAAGGTGAACGAACTTCGCGAGGAGCTGCAGCGCCGCGGCCTGGACACTCGCGGCCTCAAGGCCGAGCTTGCTGAGCGGCTGCAGGCGGCGTTGGAGGCCGAGGAGCCCGACGACGAAAGGGAGCTCGAGGCCGACGACGAACCGGGACGACCCGGGCACGACAACGAGGAGCCCGAGACCGAGGGGGGCTCCGAGCTGGAGGGGACCGCTCAGCCACCGCCCCCCGGCCTGCAGCCGCACCCGGAGCCTGGCGGCTACTCGGGGCCGGATGGACATTGTGAGAGTGCGCGGGGCGGGGGCCGGGAGCCTGGAGTGCGGGCGGAGGAAGGGCTGTGGGGCGCGGGAGTCCGGCGCCGGAGGTCGGGGAGACAATCTGAGGGTTGGGGGATCCCGCGGCTGCAAAGGATCTAGGGACCAGGGCTTCGGGACGACCGGAAGGTGGACCCGGGCTTTCGGTGCCGAGGAGATAAGGGGAGTAGGGCTTGGTTTTCAGTGGTGAGAAGGGTCCAGAGAGTGGAGAGGATTCCGGAGTCTGAGGCTCGCAGACCGGAAACCGTGGTTTCTGGAGCTATTAGACTTGGAAGAACAAGAGGCTGCCTGTGCGGGGGTGAGGAAGGCCTCGGAAATGGTGGTCCGCGGGTCCGGAGCTGCCTGGGCTTGGGGACGCGTTGGGAGCCGTGTTGTCCGGGCTGGGAAAGGCATGACCAGGTAGCAGGGCTGGGTGAGTTTTGAGAAAGGAGCATCATGGGGTTTTTGGTGGGGGTCCTGGGAATCCTCATATTTAGTACTGGGCTGGGGCGAAATGGGGGTCCTGGTGTCTGGCTGGGGAAGGTCTGATGCACTGGGCGGACTGGTGGGCACATAGAGAATGTGAGCAACCACTACATGACTGGAATCCGGGGGGACCCGCCTCTCTCTGAGGATGGTCTGGGGGATTCAGATTCAGGGCTGGAAGGCCAGCCTTGAGGCAGGGACAAGTTGGATGTTTGGTGCTGGGAACTCTGGGGACCTTCTTGCTGACTTGTAGGTGGAGGTGGAGGACACATTGGGTCCTGAGTCTGGGGTGGAGGGGAAGGAAGGATGATGCTTCGCTGGATTCAGGACGTGGAGGTCTAGGGCCAGAAAGGGTCTGAGGACGGGTTGCCCAGTGGCGGTTGCTGTTTTGGGTTAGCAGTAGATCCAGGTTGCTTGGTGAATGGGAATAACTAGGGGTGGGATGGAGTGGATAACAAGTTGGCAGAGTTTGATGTCCATGCAGAGTCTGGGATACGAAGATTCTGTGTGCAACACAGGAGTGTTTTGACTAGTCTAGCAAACATGGGGGAAAGGGAAAGTGTAGATGGGGAAAGGGAAAGAAAACCTGTTGACTGGGGCCCGCAGGGTGGAGTGGGGGGAGTGTTTCAGGGACTGAGCCTTTCCATGAGAGTGCTCTTGGCCCCAGGAGCTGTTGTTTGCGTGCTCTGGGATTGGGGGAGCCTCAAGGGGTAGCAGAGAACCTCTACATCAGCGGGAGTTGTATCTCGCACTGCAAGGGCTCAGGTAGTTCTGTGATTGAGGAGAGGATGCCTAGAGAAGCTCTGGAGATACAAAACTAGCAAAACTGAGGAGTGGGGATTGGAGAGATTACTGAGTAAGTAGAAAGGACTCTGGTGTCCAGGGCTCTTGGTATTTTTCTGGAAAGAGGGTACCCTGAGCCATGGGGCAAAGGGAATTAGGAGAGAAAGGGAGTCAGGGAAGAAATGGTTTGGGGTTGGCATTGAGTTTTTCCATGCTCCTGAAAGATGAGGTCTCCTGGAGGGAGGCATCCTGCGGAGAGATTTGGGGTAGAGGGTGGTCTAGGGATTGCCCAGAACCCGGGTGCTGTGAAGAGGCCTTTCCGGTGCAGAGAGCTGTGAAACAAGGAGTGGCCTAGTGTGCATGTCTAGGGTAGGAGGCACCCTGTCTGGGAAGAAGGGGCAGTGGCCAGGGGCGTCTCTAAAAGTAAGTTCAGTACTTCAGAGCTCAGGTTCCAGCTCAGTCTTTGTTTCAAATCTGGCTTCATGATTTGGGCAAGTCACTTCGCCTCTGTGAGTCCTGGTTTCCTTGTGTGTGAAATAGGGATGACAGTAATAGTGCCCCCCAGGACTGTGATGAATGAGATCACATGTGTAAGAGACTTATTAATAGGAGGAAGGTGTTTAAGAGAGTGGAGAAGGACCCCAGAATCATAGCTTCTCTGGGCATAGGAGTCTCAGGTAGAGGATTTGGAGGTGGGGGGAGCACACTGCTGGGAGCCTGGAAAAACAGAATGGTTTCAAAGGGCCCCCTGTGTTCCAATTAAGAAGCTATTGGATTTCTTCATCTCTTCCCTTCCCCCCACAGCAAAGCCCTTTGAGCCTCCTTCATGCCCCCTCCAACTCTTCCTTCAACCCTGGTAAACAGAGCTGTAGCAAATCACCTGAGCTGCAGCTTTCCCCTTTGGGCTGCACCTGATTTGTGCCCAGATGTATATGTCCTCTGAGAAAGGATCCAGTCAGTTAGCAAGTGGCAGAATAGGCTCTCCTTCTCTGTGGCTCTGCTTCGCTGGTCCTGGCACAGCCACCAGCAGGGCCCTGGAGGCACCTAGCACGGCTTGCCCTGGGGAGAATGGCCTGTGTGCTCTTCCTCCCAAGTCTCCCAACTGTTCACTGGGTTTGGATGCAGGGTCCTCCTTGAGGGATTTTTGGGTTTGATACTTTGGTTTTAGTCCCACCTGTGAGCTTTGACGTGTGTTATCACAACCCCAGGAATATCTTCTCCATCCTCATTACTGAGTTATTGTCTATGTATCTTTTGATTCCTAACTTTTCTCTTACTTTTTAGGTCCCTGTCTTAGATTGGTAGCCCTTAGCTGAATCATAATGAGCTTTTTATGTTTAAGCATTTGTTCAGTGGTGTGCCTTGCCGAACTGAAGGCTTCAGTAGGGCAAGCTTAATCTCAGTTGAATCCTAGGGTATGATGTGTAGTATGTGCTCTGGATAATGCATATTGTTCATTCTTAGCACTCCTCAGCTGAGCTCCTCTTCAACACACAAGATCCCTTCCCCAAACCCTTCCACTAAATAGTTCAGGACTCATCCCTAACGTGTCTGAAGAACACTGTTGTCAGGATTCCTGTTTTTTTAATAGTTTCTTTCCTTGTGCCCATGTTCCCTTTAACTAAGGTGGTTACCCCTGATCTTTATAGTTCTTACAGTGTGAACTAGTTTGTGCTCTAGTTAAGTTTATTTATTCCTTTTTTGTGTGTATAGAAGTATGAGAGGGTTTGCCAGAGACAGAGTGGGGAGCAGAACAGGTGGATAGACTGAAATACACTGTTAAGGGGAACAGCGAGCGAGACGGTAGGTCTGCTGCGCCCATGTGGGTCAACTCCCTTGGCCAGGGATGGAACCAGGTCACAGTGGTGATAGTGCCGAGTCTTAACCCCTAGGCCACCATGGAGGCCTCTAAACAGTTAAGTTTAAACCTCAAAGGTAACTCCTTAAGCTTTATACCGTGTCAGAGGAGAGGCAGGCTAGTGCTTTTTAGACTGTGCTCCATGGCGTTGCAGGGGTCTGCAGAGTTGCCCCCGTCTGAGAGTAGGAATTCAGAGGGGAAGGTCAGAACCCTTCTCTGATCCTCCGATTATCTCATTTCAACCGGAGTAGTGTTGCTTCCTTTGATTTTGTACTCTGGCAGTCTGTAGAACTCAGTTACAGGTCTCTAACCTCGTGAGGGGCAAGAGGGCATCTTCTCAGGCAGTTGGTACCCAGATAGGTTTTCATCTAAAGGTGCTGTCACACCTTTTAGCCTCTGACAGTCTTAGTGTCCCTGGTTGGCAATGATGTGTTGGATAAAAAAGCCACCTCAGGTCCCAGGAAGTACCCTTCTAACTGGCCATCTTTTGCTTTAAGATGTCATGGACAATATTCCCAGACAGAACCAATTCTATGAGACCCAGGTCATCAAGCAAGAGAACGAATCAGGCTACGAAAGGAGACCTCTGGAAATGGAGCAGCAGCAGGCCTATCGCCCAGGTAGGAAAGTGCATGTTGTACATCTTTTTTGAGGGAGATAGACTCTGCGTGAGGCCCTATTCCTCTCCCTAGAGCCTGTCTTTCCAGGGAGACGGTGCATCTTCCTCTTGGGCAATGCATTTGATCTGTGACCCTGGCAAGGTTTTTTTGAAGGTATGAACTTAGTCCTGTTCCCCAGTGTGGGAGAAGGAAGTTTTCAGTCTGTTTTCAGATTTTAGTATCGACGCCCTGGAGAGTTTAGATCTGGAAGCCAACTGAGTCTTATTTAGAATCTTAGAATGTAGAAGCCAGAAAAGGACCTTCTAAATCTAGTCTGGTATTTCCCATGTCCTGAAGATTCTGGAGTTATTATTAGGGATTTATCAGAAAGGGATTCCGTGGCCAAATGCTTCTGAAAAACGCTGCACATGCTGTACCATCTCTTGGAGCGTCATTGTGCTCGTTAGAGCATTAAGACTCCAAAGTCCTGAATTGAAAAACCCAGTGTTGCATTATATAAACCCAGGATGTTTCTCGGACATGTTAATATGTCTTTGCAGAACTTAGTTCCCCATAATGCCAGTTTGGGAAACAGATATAATCCAGCTCTCTCTTCCCCATTTTACAGATCAGAGAGGTGTCTTGTCTAATGGCAGAGCTCATGTTGAAACCTGGGAATCTGACTCCTGGGCCACTGCTCTGGGTTCATATGCAGCATTCCTCACCACCTGTGTCCTATTTAGAAAGCAGTCTTCTTGTTGAGTAATGACAGGGCCAGGACTAACTCTCAGTCCTGTGCTTCTTTCACTGTGTTGTGGCCCCAGTGTCTTTTCTTAGTGAATGCTGCTGATTCTTTCTAATTCCATTCTGGTTCATCCACACAGTGAAATCCCCAGATGTTTCTTGTGGGTGGCTCAGGCCTTTAATGAATGTAGGTTAAACTGCAGATTTGTGTCAGGCTCCGTGAGACTTTTGGGATCATTTGTCCCAAGGAGAGTATTTTCTGTGCCGTCATCAGACATGTGTCAGGACTTCCTGTGAGCCTAGCACTATGCTGGGAACTATGGAGGCTTTCTTCAGATGGGAAGAAAGATAGGCTCCTGCCCCGGAGAAGCAGGAGCCTTCTCAGAGATAGATCTGCATACCAAAATTAGGGAATGATGAGAGTTGTGCTCCGGTGAGTGCTGACGCGAGTGATCTGCAGCATAAGGCTTAGGTGCTATGGGAGAAGTGAGGCTTGTTCTCAGGTGCTGATTCTTGGTGTCTGCTAGGGACAGAAACTTTCCTGTATCCACAGCACCTAGCCCATTCTGTCTCCTGTTTGTGGTGTGACTTAATGGGCTGACTTAAGTGCAGATTCCTCCCCCCATAGTGGTTCTGGGGTTCGGGTAGAGTGATTCAAGGCATTGAAGTTAGCTGCAGATCCACAATACTATCAACTCTCTCCAGCCAGACTGAAGAGCTTTGTAAGATCTGAGGTGGATTGTTTGGGAGTAGAAATCGGAGGACATAGGATCACAGAATGTCAGTGTTCAGAGGGCTCTTGGAAGTCTTTAGGGCTCCCACCCACTCATGGTGGGCCAAGATAGCTGCCAACTTTCATAGGGCCTTTCGCAAAACAGCCATTCCACTTTTGGGTAGGCTCTTCAAAACCTTGTCCTCATTTAATGCTGAACTCCCACTCCTTCCCCCCTGAAGCCTGAGAGTTATCTGACTGACATCTGTCACTCCATGGGCTGATAATGCCTGACTGGCTATCCACAGCCTCCCTTTATCTTAGTCCAGGTCTTGTGGGTTCCTCTGAAGGCTCCTGTTGAACCCAGCAAGCTACCAGTGCCCAGCCCTTTATCGCTATAGTCAGGCTCCTGCCCACCTCTCCTGAATTAAGGGGAACCAGAAAAGTGATAGCTGAGGAGCTTCTGAATATCATTCATCTGAATTTGTCTAACAGTAGAAGTGAAGACTGAGGTAAAGCAAGAAGCACCCCCCAGCTTCCTCTCTCCTGAAGCATCTCAACTCAAGCCAGACAGACAGCAATTCCAGAGTCGCAAGAGGCCTTATGAAGAAAACCGGGGACGGGGGTACTTCGAACACCGAGAGGATAGAAGGTGGGTATGTGTGGAGCCATAATCACGCTTATTCCAGCAGGTTTCTATGTCTATAGCCTGGTGCCCACTGGCACCTCTGTACTAAGAGGGGTAAAGTAGAGTTCTCCTTGCCCTTAAATAGCCCACTTGTCTCTCTTGCACTTACTGCCAGATTTGCCTGTGCTCAGCCCTTTGTCCATCCCTCAGTTACTCCCTTTCATTACCTGCAAGCCAAACACCAAACACCATGGCCTTTCACATATGAGATGCCAGTTGTCTTTTCAGTCTTTTGTCCCACTGCTCTGCAGTCCTATATAGCGTCCCATTTTTTTATGGTTGCCTGCTTGATAATCCCTGATAGAAAGAGAGGTCTATGTCCTGACCCTTCTCCAAAACACATACCCACCCTGCCTCTACTCTTTCATTCACTGTCAGCGTTCAGTGCTTTCACAAGGTACCTGCCCTTGGGCTGGACATCAGGGGCAGAGCTGATTTCAACAGTGACATTTGCCTTCTACACGAATAAGCCATAACTTTGTGGTGTGAATGTGAGGAGTTCATAGGAGAATAGCCCCTCTGCTCTGGTCATTCTCTGCTTTTTCTCATTCCTGACAAGTCTGCCTTCCCCCCAAACCCAGTCCTTAACTTGCCTCCTTCAGCTCCCGTGTGAAGCCTTTTTTGATCATGGACACTAAATGATTGCTTCTCCACTCATCTAGACTGATCATCTGACACATTTAATTTCCTGCCTGGTGGAGTCCATCTAGCTAGCTTTTGACTTTCTTTAGATAGGGCATTGGTCTCTTGGGCTGTGACTAAAGTTAGGACATGGAACCTACCCCTCACCCTTCTCTAACTGCCTCTCAGAGAGCAGAGCCCTTGGAGCATCATGCTAATGGAGTGCAGAGGAGGACTTCCTATGGTAGACTTAGTATGGGATGAGCTCCTCCTTTATACCAGGCTCTATGCTATTCTTCGATTGATGGGGCCAGAGGGCACTCACCACAGGGAATCCTGCTGCCAGCGGGCACAGGGTGGGGCCTAGGACTATCCAAACTGCCCCAGCAGGGCCCTGTGCATTAAAACTATACCCTTTATTCCCGCTCCCTTATTTTAATTTTTTAAAGATTTATATAAGAACTGGGATACAGGTCAGAGGTGCGGGAGGGTGAGAGGATTCACCAGAGACAGAGCGGGGAGCAGAACAGGCAGACGGACTGAAATACACTGCTGAAGGGAGCAGCAGGTGAGACAGGAGAGGTCTGTCGTGCCATGTGGGTATCTCCTTGGCTGGCCGGGAATTGAACCAGCGCTGCAGAGGCTGCGGACAGCTTCACAGCAGTGTACTCAATCCACTATGCCACCGGGGAGGCGCTCCCTTATTTTTATATATGTTAGAAATCAGGACTTTTTTTTTTTTTTTTTTTTTTTTTTAAGAGGTAACCACTTGTAACATTTTGTTCCGTACCCTTCTTTTTTTTTTTTTTTTTAGATTTATTTTTTTTTATTTATTTATACAAGCACTGGGTACAGTCAGAAGCGCGGGAGGGTGAGAGAATTCACCAGAGCCAGAGCAGGGAGCAGAGCAGGCAGAAGGACCGAAGTACACTGCTGAGGGGAGCAGCGGGCGGCAGGAGAGGTCTGCACGCCATGTGGGACCCTCCTCCGGTGGCCGGGGAGCAGCCGGGGATCGAACTGGCACTGCAGAGGCTGCGGGCAGCTTCGCAACCCAGCGCTCAACCGCTGCGCCACCGGGGAGGCCCAATCAGGACTATTTTAACATAGACTCTTAAAAGTGTTTTGGTAGGAAGATAAATCTTGTTCATAATTTAGGACACTTGGAGAAAGAAACTGAAAAAAAAAAAAAAAATGGGTCATTGAAAATCCTTTCAGATGTAGTTTTAGGAAGACTGGCATATGGACAGATTGTAATTATAGAGGTTTATCTGCACTCTGGCACTTGACATTTCCTAGCCCTTTACCCTTTGGCTTCCCACAACCTCCCCCAGATAACAGTTGAGAGTGGAGGCAGTTCTCCATATGCAGAAGGTGTGGATCAGGAGCTTAGGGTGGAAGGGTCTTCTCTGAACGTCTTGAAGTGATTCTGATTCTGCTCTCTGTGGAAGAGCTGCCTTCTCCTGTCCTTTGCCCACCCTAGGCATTAACTGTCATTGCTCTCATTTCGAACGTATTGGACTCCAGTTTAGTTTGCTAACCTTTGTGAGAAGAAATCAAAATCCAGGTAGCATCCTGGAGACTACTTGTAAGTTCTAGCAGAGTCTTCATTTCTCTTCTTCGATGTTCATTCAGTCATTCTTGTGTGACTTAACCTATCTTTATGACACAGGGGCCGCTCTCCTCAGCCTCCTGCTGAAGAGGATGAAGATGACTTTGACGACACCCTTGTTGCCATTGACACATGTGAGTCCTTGGAGTGCCTATCTGATTCAGCCTCCAGTCAGTATTGGGAAACTATGCCTTGACCGTCACAGAATCCCTGCCTGGCACCATCCAGAGCCATTGTTAGTCCAGATGTGAGAAACGGCAGAGCTCTGGAGCAAGGGTGCTGGTTTGGAGACAGAAGATCTACTCCCAGCTCTAGCTGTGGGACCCTGGGCAAGTCATTCTACTTCTCTGAGCTTCTCTTCAGGGAGGAATAATCATACTGTAATATTTCAGAATTTCAGTGACAACCATCAGAGAATGGATATGACAGCAATTTGGAAAACGCTGAGTTGTCCTATACACCCAGGGGGTTGTCATCTAACCAGGAAGGGAACTTGAGTGCTGCTGGGAAAACTTAACTCTTTTTTTTTTTTTTTTTTTTTTTTTTTTTTTTTTTTTTATATAGAGGCATGCTTTATTTATTTGTTTGCTGGTTTCTTTGTTTGTTTTGTTTATACATGCACTGGGTACAGTCAGAAGCGCGGGAGGGCGAGAGAATTCACCAGAGCCAGAGCGGGGAGCAGAGCAGGCAGAAGGACCGAAGTACACTGCTGAGGGGAGCAGCGGGCGGCAGGAGAGGTCTGCGCGCCATGTGGGACCTTCCTCCGGTGGCCGGGGAGCAGCCGGGGATCGAACCGGCGCCGCAGAGGCCGCGCGCAGCTTCGCAACCCAGCGCTCAACCGCTGCGCCACCGGGGAGGCCCAAAACTTAACTCTTTGACAACCAGTTTCCGTCAGCTGATTGCTTTCCTGATGAAACCAATGCCACTTTGTCTTCTGAGCTATTTGCTGAGCTTACCCTCCTCTCTTTCCTCCGGTTTTCTTTCCCCTGGATAAGTGGTTTTCATCCTCACTGTGTATCCTAACACTTGGGAATGGTTATAGAGGTCCTGTCCCTCCTCAGGCCTCCAAAGACAAAATCGAAATGGTAAAGCTTGTGAATCTGAATTACTGAATGTATCCAGAAGTCCAAATCAGTGGAACAGAAAGTTAGCAGTAGGTCATTCATGAATTTCTTCATTAGCTCTTTTATAGAGCGATGGCTACATGCTTTGGGAAAGATAAAGACATTTCATGCATAGCCCTTTCTATCATGACATCTCAAAGACAAAATCTACCCAGGGTAAAACCAAACACTTGTAAAAGTATTGGGTGGCAATGGTTTGTGCAGTGTAACATCTGATCAAATGCCAGTGTGCAACCCATGGTGCTTGGCCTTTAGAGGAAAGAGAGAGCCTAGTGGACAGACGCTTCAGGAGAGACCTTTGTAGAGGCATGTTTTGCTCCTTGCAGAGTCTTGGGAGAGTCCTAGACCAATAAAAGGAGGCGGTGCACTGTGCTGGTCCTGGACGGTGGTGCCTGGATGGTGGGTCTGGGTCAGGCAGCAGGACTCTGGCCCCCAAATTGATGAGAGTTAGCAGGGGGAGGTGGTTGAAACATACGGGATTCCAAAATCCCTTGAAATTAGTGAGGATGTGGATCCTGTCCTTAGCAAGTGTACAAAGGTGCTTGTGTGCGGTTTTTAAGGACCAGCTGTAAGCCACCCTTGGACCTCAGCTGGATGAAAAACCTCAGTTCCCATGTGGAGTGGCTGCTTTGATCTGTGCAGGCTAGTTTGCAGTAGTTTAGAGTCTTTCTGCTTAAAAGGAGAATGAGAAACCTTAAGAGGTTTCTCAGCCTGCCTCTGCCATATGTCAGGTTGCACATTCCTAGTCAAAACTCTTGGGGATCTTACTTTTGCCTGTTCCTGTCCTTCTTTTGTGATCTTTAAAACATCAGCCAACTACAGACTTTTTCCTCCACAGATAATTGTGATCTTCACTTCAAAGTGGCCAGAGACCGGAGTAGTGGCTACCCGCTCACAATTGAGGGCTTTGCATACCTGTGGTCAGGAGCCCGTGCCAGTTATGGGATCAGAAGGGGCCGTGTGTGCTTTGAGATGAAGGTGAGCAGGAGCGGCAGAGAGTACAAGAACATAAAGACCCATCCTCTGGAATAGGCGTTGCCTACCAGCTCATTCAGGGCTGCGATTTCAGAAGAGACTTGTTTAGGTGTAGACTTGGCATCCAAGCAAGTAGAAGTACTCGAGAGAACTACACCGTTCCCAATCGCTGTACTGGGAAGTAGGACAACCATTTATTGTCTCATGGCAGGTTTTTTCTTGGTGGGATTTGACTCAGGGTATTATACAGCCAACCAGTCTAGAGGTGTTTGTTGAACTGGGAAAAAGAGTTTTTTTGAAGAAAAGTGAGGACTTGAGCATCACCAATTAAAGGGAGGCCAGAGAGAGAACAGGGCAAAGAAAGGTTCTACCAACTCACACCATCCTTTGCCATCATCTCTCCATAGTCCCAAGTCAAGTTGTTTATGAGACTAGTACATGCTCATGTTTAACAAAAGTATAGACAACAGAGGATATAAGAGTACAGGATATAAAAGCAGACGTTATATTAACATCCTCCCAGCCTCTGTCTTACCTTCCTGAGAGACTTTAGTGTTAATGGTTTCCTGTGTGTTCTTTCTATATCCAATCTTACTCATGGTAGCTAATATTTATTTATTATTATTATTTTTAAAGATTGATTGATTTATACAAGAACCAGGGTACAGGCCAGATGTGTGGGAGGGCGAGAGGATTCACCAGAGACAGAGTGGGGAGAACAGACAGACTGACAAAATACACTGCTGAGGGGAGCAGCGGGCGAGACAGGAGAGGTCTGCCTTGCCATGTGGGGTTCCCACCGGCTAGTCAGGATCGAACCCGCGCTGCAGAGGCTGCAAACAGCCAAACTGTAGGAAACTGCAAACAGCCTCTGCAGCGCGGTGCTCAACCCCCTGCGCCACCAGGGAAGCCCAGTAGCTAATATTTATAGGGCACTTTGCATGTACTAGTTGTGCCAAACTCTGCAGACAGCTCCCTTAGTTCTCATAGCACCATCATGGATAGCTACTGTTAACCCCACGTTGTAGAGATGGACACCTGGACCGCTAGGTATTGTATTTTATTGGCTATGACACCATTGGTTGTAAGTTGCCCATTGTTTGGTGTGTAGCTCATAGAGAAATGTTGCCAGTTACACTTGACAGTGTTTTTTATTATCATATCAGTTGTAAGATATCCTAATTAATGGAGTTGTGAAAGTAAGTGTCCAAAAGTCAGTGGGAGGGCCTACCTGGTGGCGCAAGGGGTTGAGACGCAGCCTATGAGGCTATCCGCAGCCACTGCAGTACAGGTTTGATCCCCAGCGGGCCAGGGAGCGGCCCACATGGTGCAGCAGACTTCTGGCTCACCTGCTGCTCCCTTCAGCAGTGTGCTTCGGTTGGTCCGCCTGTTCTGTTCACCGCTCTGTCTGGTGAGTCCTCTCACCCGCCACGCCACTAGCCTATACCCAAGTTCTTGTATGCATAAATAAATAAATTTTTTTTTTTTAAGTCAGTGAGATGGAGTAACTTTATTTAATATACTATCTTGGAAATTTTTCCATATAGCACATTTGCCCTCCCTCATTCTTTTTAACTGCTATATCATATTCTGTGGTGTGGCTGTGCCATAGTATAACCAAACCCTTACTGGTATTTTAAAAAACCTTTTTTCAATATAAGCAGTGATATACTGACTAATCTTCTGTGTGCATGCACACCTTCACAGAGAGTGTACTGTAGAATAAACTTCAAAATTGAACTGTTGTATTATAGAGTATATGTATTTTCAGTTTTCAGAGAGCCTCCTAAATTGCCTTTCAAAGATGTGGTACCAGTTTATCCTTCTACCCCAAATATGAGAGCCCATATTTGCCCTACAGGGGAAATATTTTCTGAAATAGCTGTCTCTGTGTTCCTGCACTGTGCACTGGTTTTCCTTGCAGCAGACCCTGCAGAGCAGCTTAAACAACTTTCATTGTAAAAGCCACTGTTTGTTTGCTTGTTTGTTTTTTTAAGATTTATTTATTTATACATACGAGAGCTGGAGTATAGGTCAGAAATGCGGCGTGGTGAGAGGATTCACCAGAGACAGAGTGGGGAACAGAACAGGCAGACTGACTGAAATATACTGCTGAGGGGAGCAGCGGATGAGACAGGAGAGGTCTGCTTCACCATGTGGGTTTCTCCCTGGCCGACCGGGGATCGAACTCGTGCTGCAGAGGCTGCGGCTTGCTTCATAGTGTGGTGCTTAATCCCTTGAGCCACCAGGGAGGCCCACCACTGTTATTTTTTAAAGGCTGATGTGCTACCCTCCTTACTGCCTCATCATCCACTAGCCTCCAGAGACTCAGCCCTGAGCCCTCTTGTCTTCTGTCCCCAGATCAACGAGGAAATTTCCGTGAAGCACCTTCCATCAACAGAGCCTGATCCACACGTTGTCCGCATTGGCTGGTCCCTGGACTCCTGCAGCACCCAGCTAGGTAAGGAGAGGTCAGCCAAGCAGTTTGGAACAATTGCCCCATCCCTGAATTCTAGAGCTTCCTGAGCTTCTCTTCCCAGTTTGGGACTTGAAACAGAACTAGTCTGGGTTGAAAATACAAAGGATTGGGCGTATGCCGCTGTCCATTTCCAGACTTATGGGATTCAAATGGAAGAACCATGGTCATAATACTACTTTCTGTGAAGATTTATTCTTTCCCTTCATCTCCTACGAGAGAGTCCAAAATTTTCTTTCGAAAACTATTCCCTTAAAAAAAAGGTCAGTCTTTGCACTCAAACCATGCTGAAAATAAGTTCCTCAAACCCCTTTAGGCTCTGTCTGGAATTTTTTCCAGAGCCAAACTTAGAGTAAAAGGGGAAGCAGACCATTGGGACCAGAGCCAGTTAGCAGAAAGGGGTGGGGCGGGCCATTGAAAGGTTTTGAATTTTCACAGCATCTCAGACCTCTGTGACCTGACCCCAAGTGACTGATTTCAGTGACTAATGCTAAGACTTTTCTGCCTCAGTCAAAATAATCATTCTGATTATTTTCATACTGTGCTCCTTGAAAAAATTCAGGCCATGCCTGAATGGGGGTGGGTGGTATGAAAACCCCTCTTAAAACTGCAGGGTAACAACCAATGATGGGGTTTTTATCTACAGCCTTTGGACAGTTCTTTTGTTCTGTGTCTGTCTCAAATTGGGCCACACGTTACACAACATTGTGTAGCCTGACTTCTTTTTCCTTTTCACTATGTGATAGACATTTTTGTAAATAAGTATAGCTTTTGACTACATATTTTCCAACATAAAGTTGTCACTTATTTGTAAATGTTTTCTAGGTAATTTAAGTCAGTGGCACTTTTTGCTGTTCAGCAGTTGAGCTGCTACCCTTGTGTATAGTTGTTCTGATTGTTCACTCAGTATTGATGCTTAAAAGTAGGGATGTTAGGTCAGAGGGGCAGTTCAGAGGTAGTTCTTGTTTTGCTGCGTGTTCGCTCTTTCTGTTTAAGATGTGTTATGTGTCATCTCACTTATCTTTGTCTCAGTTGTAAAATGAAAGTGGACAGAGGAATCCAAAGCTCAGAAAGGCCAAGCAGATGTTCAGAATTCCGCAGGTGATTTCGAGAAGGACCAGGCCTAAGATTCATGCTTGGTGACGCCTGCTTTTCTGGCAGGATGCTCCTTGCGTTCCCGGCCAAGGATCTCAGTATAACCCAGGTGTCAGCCAGGGCCCTTGGGATCTCAGTCAGATCATTTCAGCCCCCAGTTCTATAGCCGGAGGAGATCCAGTACCTTTTGTAGGAGGTTAGACCTCATGGTCTCCAATAGCAGAACCCAGCCCCTTTGCTGACTTCCATCCGGCAGCCACTGGCACCAAAAATGGATGCCAGTAGTAGATTTGACTGAACATTAAGGTCAGAGGAAAGGTTTGCATCTCGGCATATGGCCTTGCTCCATCCCAGCTCCTCTCTTTCCCTCCTCCCTTTCTTTCCAAATTCTCCCTTTCTGTGCAGAGCAGTTCAGTTCAACTCCTGCTACCAGTCTTAACACCTAAGTGCATCAAGCCCATAGCAGTTCTGCTTCCTTTCAGGGGACTCTTCCTCACATTTCCCAGAAAAAGCTTCTGATAAGTAAAACTAGTAAAGGAAATGATTTTTTTCTTTAAAAGTATGTGACAGCCATAAAGGCTGTTGTGACCATCGCAGGTTTAACCTGCCTTTGCCTATTTCTTTCATCAGGCGAAGAGCCTTTCTCCTATGGTTATGGAGGCACTGGGAAGAAGTCCACCAATAGCCGGTTTGAAAACTACGGAGACAAGTTTGCAGAGAATGATGTGATTGGCTGCTTTGCGGTGAGTGCTGGCAGCCTGTGGGAGTTGGCAGAGTCAAATGTTGGTCCCGTCAGCCGGACCTGCGGACTTCTTTTTCACAGTACCTCTGTCCGATGTCTGCCCCATCCAGCCACTCTCACCGTACCGCTTCATCTCTGGCAGCCTGGAGTGTTTGCTGTCATTCTGTGCACAATGCCGCCATTCTGCCCTCTCTGGTCTTCTATGCAAAGCTATCAGATGGCACCTGAAAAGGTTGGGGACATCAGGTGTGCACGAGCTTCCTCCATTCTTAGATAACAGGGTGCCATTTTCGAAACAGGCCCAGGAATTTCTTAACTTTCTTTGCTAGGGAAGAGCCTAGCTGCTCTTGATAGCAGTGTTGGCTCTTGTGCCACGTTGACGTCATTTCATCTTCTCCTTCCCTACCTCACCGTTGGCTAATCCAGGGATTTTCTACAGAGCACTGCTTCTAGGAGGGTGGGGTGGGTACAACACAGCAAGATAGCTGGTGCTGAGCTGCTGTGGAACTCTAGTCCCTGGGATCAGAGACAACACGGTGCTGGGAGTATGCGGTTGGCTCGGGCCAAACTCCTAGTCCTGACCAGCTTGCCCTCTGTAGTTCCATCTCCTATAAATGAGACTGTTTACCTTCGAATCTTGTGTAGGATCAATAAATCGGTCCATTAAAAACAGAACAATGTGGGTTACAGGAAGTGCTCAGTAAGTACTGCCTAATACTGCTATCACTAGGAGATGTTGATAAAATGTGCCACTAGGCCCCTAGGAAGGAGTGACTGACTACCCAGGTCTTCTTGGTCCTGTTTTCTCTGCCTCCCTCATCAGCGTACTCATGTACTTTTTTTCTTTTTATTTTTTAACTTTGAAATAACTCAGGAAAGCCCTAAGATTTCTCATTGAGCCTTGTCCAAATTCTAACATTTGCTTTATCATTTATGAGTTTGTTTATATTTACCATACATGAGTTTTATCTGATCTATTTGAAAGTAGGTTGTAAACCCCCGTCTTTACTCCTTAATACTTTACCATGCTCTTTTTTTTTCCAAAATAAACTTATTAATCATAGTACAGTTATTAGATTTAAAACTGATGTAATACTATTATCTACTCCACAGTCCACATTTAAATTTTATCATTTGTCCCAACAATATTCTTTAGAGCAATTTTGTTTCTGGTTCACCATCCAATTCAGGATTGTGTATTGCATTCTCTGGTGATGTGTCTTCAGTCTGAAACAGTTTCTCAGTCTTTTGTCTTTCATGACTTCATCTTTTTAATAGAACATTTTCTTAAACAAAAATTTAAGAAATTTTTGCTTCTATTCTGCAAATTGTTCTGAACCTTACAGTTTTCCTTTTAACAGTAAATCTTAGCTGGCTTTCCCTGTCCACACAGATAATATAGAGCTAACTCAATTAAAAACATTTTTTGAAAAGCTAGTAGATTCACATGGTTTACCCCCCAGAAATCAAGGAATATAAAAAGATAGGCAGTGCAAAGTTTTCAGGCCTTCCCCTCCACCTGTTGTTCACAGATACTTCCTCTTGCCACCCCAAGACCCTCTGATACTCAGAGTATGTTATCCAAATGGAAGAACGATTGCTGTTTTTCATCTTTCACACAAAAGATAGTATACTACGCCTGTTATTCTACATCTTAACATCTTAGAGATCCCTTTATATCGCTGCTGAGAGGGCTTCTTTGTTCTTTTATATGATCAGTAGTTATTTTGTGGGTCTACCTTTTGTGAACATGTGGTTAGTTTCTCACCTTTTTATTTAGTAGAGCTACCTTGTAATATGTTGCAGGTGTCAATTTACGCAGTTTCATGTAGCTAATCCTCTGGTGGTGGACCTGAGTGTTATTTGCTGGAACAGTCACTGCTGCAGTGACAGCTTACCTTTTTCCTAGTTACCAGAGTGTCCTGCAGGTCTTTTTGAGTCCCCACACTTGGATCTCCTTGTAATTTAGCCTCTCCCCCTTCCCTTTGGAGCACATTAGCAGTACTGGAGGAAGCACTGTACACTCACATCTTTGCATTAGTCTGGGGCTACAGCAGTTTATTATTATTGTAATAGTTGTGGTACTTCTTTCTGAAAGCACAACTTCTAGGTCAAAGGTGTATTTTTGGTTCTGGGTGGGGGTGGGGGTGGTATGCTTTAGGATCTTTTTTCCTTTTTTTCCCCAAAGGCATACTTTCAGATTTTGATAGCTACACCCAAGACTGCAGCAATTTAACTTGTCATCAGTATGTAGGTTTCCCCAAACCCATCTGAACTTGAGATCAGATGTACGTGTGTAGCAGATTGGAACTCTAGGCCTTGACAATTCTGTTGGAACCAGTTTTCTCTACTTTTCTTTTTAAAATGCCATGTGCAATTTCCTTTGCTCAAAGGATGCCCTAACTTTAAAAAGATTCAGGGTGAGGGGTTGGAGGAGGTATGAAAATTGCAAGGCTGAAGGGACCTGGTGGGGGAGCACATTTTTGTCAGATCTTGAGTTCTCAACATGCACAAAACAAGAAGGACAAAGCAGCCTTCCAGGGAAACAGAACAGTATAACCCACCTCAATCAACCGTAATGACTGTGACACTTGGCGCCTCAGTGACAGCACAAGGAGATATGAGATGAGTACAAAAAAATGACACACTCTGAATAATGCCAGGCTTAAGGATCAGGTCTCTAGATTCCGAACTGCTACAGTATTTAAGCAGGAGTGACGTGACTGTGCTTGTCTCTAGATAGTTAGCTCTGTTGGTGGTGGTGGACTTTCTGACTGGTCAATTCCTGTAGTGAAACTGGTAGCCCTTAAAGGAACATGTGTCCCCATGTCCATATTAGAGCGAAGGCGCCCTGGGATCACTCCTGGTTAGATGGGAAGGCATGGCAGGATTCAGTGTGGTATGTTTACTCATCTGACCTGTGTGGGTGCTTAGAGATGAACACATACAAAGAATCGCACAGCTGTACCTGGTGAGCACTAACAGGATGGTCAAGAAGGTTTTGAGGGGAAAGGGTTTCTACTGCTTCTTAAAGGACAACTCCAAGGTGGTCTCCCAGCTCACAAAGGAAAGGACGCTACACGGTTAGTAAATGGTAAGGCTAAAGCAGCCTGCCTTCCAAACAGGGTCTTAGCCTCTCAACTGACTGCTTAGTCTGAACTCAATAGTCAAAGGAATGTTTGTGGTCCCTGCTCGGCTTTCCAGCTGTTCCTGAAGTTACTCTCCCCTTCCCAACACTCCCTCCACCCCCCACCCTGTGCGCCTTTATGCTTCAGCCAGTCTGACCTGGCACTCTCAGCACCAGATTTAGATACAAATGATATAGAACCTGTCTTGGCTCATTTCTGTTTATTATTCAGGATGTGGCTTACAAGTCCCATTTCCTCAGAGAAACTGCTCTTGTGTAGGTGCTTATGAGTTGAGATAGTGCCCTTGTCTGATTTCTCACTAAGCCGTGGGCTCTCAAACGCAGATGGTCACAGGCATATGCGCTGGGAAGAATAGGAACTTGGGGAACAGGTGTCAAACAAAATGGCTTTCTGTTCATCTGTCATCTTCAGACTGCCTTGCTGCAGTTGAGGATGGACAGGATAGCCTTTTCCTTTATCTTATCTCAGACTGGGCACAAGACCCAAGTATTTGGCTCTTCCTTATATGATGTGCTGCATAGCCACCAGCTTTTGGGTCTTGGGCAAGGAGGGAAACAAGCAGTATTTTCACACCCGCCTCTGCACTCTGATTTGTGCTCAGCTTTAAGCTGAGCATTGGCAGTTATATTCCTTTGAATTTTTCTCCCAGGACTTTGAATGTGGAAATGATGTGGAACTTTCCTTTACCAAGAATGGGAAATGGATGGGCATTGCCTTCCGAATCCAGAAGGAAGCCTTGGCGGGTCAGGCCCTTTACCCACATGTCCTGGTGAAGAATTGTGCAGTAGAATTCAATTTCGGCCAGAGGGCAGAGCCCTACTGTTCCGTACTCCCAGGCTTCACATTCATCCAGCACCTTCCCCTGAGTGAGCGGATCCGGGGCACCGTTGGACCAAAGAGCAAGGCAGAGTGTGAGGTAAGTAGGCCTGGTAGCCTGGATTGGTGGTGCTCTCACCAAAGTCAAGTGGCTGCCAAGGCAGAAGGGAGACACTTGGCATTTGACTGTGGTGAAAGCTCTGCAGACTTGCTGTGTGACACTAGGGCAGGGGAACTCTTGTAGCTCCTTGTTTGCACCCTAAGCTGCTGTGAGTGGAGAGACGGCTGTGGGTGTGTCTTAGGCCAGTGAGGGAGAGGCTAGCCTCTTGGAAAGGTTCCAAGAGGAAGTTGCCACAGTCCTTCTTGTGAGGTTAGAATCTTAGAACAGGAGGTCTTTCTTCTAACAGAAAAGGGTCGGAAGTCACTTCCTGGTGAGTGCCTTCTTGCAGGAAGTTATGCACTTCAACTCTCCCACCATGGTTGTCTAAGAACAAAAAAGATTTCTGGCCTTTGATGGCTTAGGAGCTATATTGGTGATTTTTGCTCTCAAAATGATAGTTTTCCTCTGTGTGGCATATATGTTTATTGGAGGACACTGAGAAATACAGAGAAAATTAAGAATTTCCATTCCACCACTTGGAAAATTTACTTTTATAAAAGTTTTGGAGTTGATCCCATTTTTCCTGTGCTCGTTGCTTGATTTATACACACAAACTTAAAAGATCTTATAATGTATAAACATTTTGAGATTCTGCCCTTTTAACATTATTTTGTGAACTTTATTCCCACTACATGAACATATCTTTTTAAACTCATTTTTAGTACTCTCCCCACCCCCCACTCCCAAAAATAACTAACCATTCTCTTGTTGGGCATTTATTAGGTTGCATTTCATGTTTGCCAATTTCTAAATGTACTAATTAGATAGGATGTTTGTTCTTGTGTGTACTGTTCTATCCACATCTCAGACTTCAGGGTGTATCACTTCTCAAACCCACTCTTAGTCAAGTCCCTTCCCTGGGTCTTTCCCTACAGGGGCCACATCATCCTGCCTGAACAAAACTGTAGTGCCCATGAAGATAGAACTTGATCTTATGCTTACCCCATGCAGTCCTCTGCTAAGGGTCTGGCAAGTCTTGCCTCTGAGTCCCAGTGCAACATAGAGCTGGGTACTGTTTCCCAGAGGTGGCTATGAGGTTAAAATCATCCCCGTGGTCACCAGAAGTCAGGGTGGTGCCAGGCTGCTGCACTACACACTGCTACTGCCTCCCAGTACCCCACCCTGTCCCGTCCTCACAGATTCTGATGATGGTGGGCCTGCCTGCTGCCGGCAAGACCACGTGGGCCATCAAACATGCAGCCTCCAACCCCTCCAAGAAGTACAACATCCTGGGTACCAATGCCATCATGGATAAGATGCGGGTAAGGATGGCTTCTGGTATCTCCTTAGCCACTTCCCATTCCCCAAGTGCTGCCCTAAAACCAGGACCACCCACTCCTCACCACCCCCATGTCCCCAGGTGATGGGCCTACGCCGACAGCGGAACTACGCTGGCCGCTGGGACGTTCTGATCCAGCAGGCCACCCAGTGCCTCAACCGCCTCATCCAGATTGCCGCCCGCAAGAAACGCAACTACATCCTAGATCAGGTATTTAACTGCTGACCATCATGCCCTCAGGAGAGAGAAGGGACCTATTGGGTGGGGGGAATTTCCTTCTGGACATTATATTTTTCCCCCATAATGCTTCTGGACTGCACTGCTGGTAGAATTGTTGCCATACATCATGGCACCGTCTCACACTTTTAGCCTAGCTTTCTGAGTCCGGACTGTGGCTAGGGTCTGGGACTGTGATCCAGGTCTTACTTAGGCTCAGCAGTAGCTCAGGAGAACGTCATTATGTCAGAACTATTTGGTGAAGTGGAAAGGGCATGGAATGCTGAACTGGACAGACCTAGGCTTGAATCCCAGAGCTGCTCCTTCCTTGCTCTGCTGGTGGGCAGCTGACTTCATCCTTTGAATCTCAGTCTTCTTACCTGTATAGTGGGGATCATAATGGCACTCACTTTGCTGACACCGGCTTGACATATAATACCTGGACATTGCTACAAGTTATGGAGTAGGTACATCAAAGCTACTTTTAGAGGCACGTATTTTTATTAATTTGTTTGTTTGTTTGTTTGTTTATACATGCGCTGGGTACAGTCAGAAGCGCGGGAGGGTGAGAGAATTCACCAGAGCCAGAGCGGGGAGCAGAGCAGGCAGGAGGACCGAAGTACACTGCTGAGGGGAGCAGTGGGCGGCAGGAGAGGTCTGCGCGCCATGTGGGGCCCTCCTCTGGTGGCCGGGGAGCAGCCGGGGATCGAACCAGCGCCGCAGAGGCCGCGGGGAGTTTCGCAACCCAGCGCTCAACCGCTGCGCCACCGGGGAGGCCCTCAAAGCTACTTTTAGCATGTTTTCCTGACAGCACACATCTAAGGCACAAATACTCCACCTGCATTTCAATTAGGAGTAGGCGGCTTTTGTTTTTTTTTAAGATTTATTTATTGGGGGCCTCCCTGGTGGTGCAGGGGGTTAAAACACAACGTATGAAGCTATCCCCAGCCACTGCAGCAAAAGTTCAATCCCCGGCCAGCCAGGGGGCTACCCACACGGCGCAGCAGACCCCTCCCATCTTGCCTGCTGCTCCCCTCAGCAGTGTATCTCAGTAGATCCACCTGTTCTATTCCCCTCTCTGTCTCTGGTGGATCCTCTTGCCCCCACCCAAACCTCTGGCCTGTACCCCAGCTCTTGTATGCATAAGTAAATATTCATAAATATTTATGAATGAATAAATACCCACATGTTGCGCCATGTGGGTAGCTCCCTGGATGGCCGGGGATTGAACTCGTGCTGCGGTGTGGCTGGGGATAGCGTCATAGTGCTGCTACTTAACCCCTTGCACCACCAGGGAGGCCTGAGAGTAGGTTTCTTGGGTCATCCCTGGTGGTGCATGAGTTAAAGTCTCAGCGCTATCAATCTGTTGTCAGCCACTGCGACATGAGTTCAATCTCCAGCCAGGGAGCTGACCCACATGGCGTAGCAGACCTCTCCTGTCCGGCTGCTCCCCTCAGCATGTGTATCTGAGTAGATCCACCTGTTTTGCTCCCCGCTCTGTCTCTGGTGAATCCTCTCACCCCCTGCACCTCTCGCCTGCACCCTAGCTCTTGTATGCATAAATAAATTACATTTTAAAAAAAAAAAAGGCTAGGCTTCTTAGAACATCAGATTATCTGGGAACCCTGAAAATTAAACAGATTTGTCTGCAGGTACAGTATATCCTTTTATTTAAAACTAGACAGTTTTAAGTTAGGGTAGGAAGATCCTCCATGCCTTTCCACCAGTCTCAGAAGTTACCCAGACATGGATAAGGATTTCTGTCTCTAGAACAATGAACCTCATTTACTATCTTTGAGGCATTGTCGTTGACACTTGTCAATGAGGCTTTCTCAGTTAACAGATCCTGTATTTGGACCTTTGTGAAAAAAACTTTCCCTCAGCTTTGCATCTGTATATTCTTAAAAACCTGTGGTACACAAATTTGTAAGCTTGAAGCATTCTTGCCCTGACCTGGAATCTTCTGGACATGTTGCTTGGGCACCTGGTTGGTGTGAGTTCAAAGGGGTCATGATGGGGGGGACCTGGTGGCCATGCTCGGTTACTGAAAAGTGGTTGGAAGCTCCAGTGGCGTCCAGAATCTTCAGTTGCGTTGCGTGGAAGTGTGCCTCTGATACTAATCAATTAAGCAGGAGTGTGCAGGTTAGCGAACAGATTTAGGGAGAGTGGCACTCAGAAGCTCCTTTCCACACATCTTGCTCTATGCAGCTCTTCCTTCTGCCTCTTCATGAGTTATATCCTTTTAGAATAAACTGGTAATCTAATGTTTGTAGTTGCCATTTGAAAGCAGCACATAGTAAGAATTTATCTTAAAGACAAAGGGAAGACTGTCAGCTGGGGGTAGGTTTTTTTTTTTTTTTTTTTTTTTTGTAGAGGCATGTTTGTTTGTTTATTTATTTATTTATTTGCTTGCTTGTTTGTTTATACATGCACTGGGTACAGTCAGAAGCTCAGAAGCGCGGGAGGGTGAGAGAACTCACCAGAGCCAGAGCGGGGAGCAGAGCAGGCAGAAGGACCGAAGTACACTGCTGAGGGGAGCAGCGGGTGGCAGGAGAGGTCTGCGCGCCATGTGGGACCCTCCTCCGGTGGCCGGGGAGCAGCCAGGGATTGAACCGGCGCCGCAGAGGCCGCGGGCAGCTTCGCAACCCAGCGCGCAACCGCTGCGCCACCAGGGAGGCCCTGGGGGTAGTTCTTTATAGTAAAAACATTGATCTCAATTGATCTTGCCGAGCAGTTGGAGTCTGGGAGTAGAAGTGTGCAGCTTGCTAATGAAACTGCCTTGCTAAAAACAACTAGAAGTTGGCTAAAGTTGTGCCACACACTTGGCGCTCTTCTTTCATGGAAATGTGAGATTTGTTCTGGCTTCACCTTTTTTGGATGATGGACGTGAAGGACAATACTGCAACCATAGGAGTGAGCCCTAAGACCCTAACATTTGTGAAGGAAAAATATGATCCCATAATACTAAGTTGTAATACGAACAATTGATTGGGCTAATGTGCAGAATAAACTTATTTCTGTGGGGGGGTAAAAAAAATCACAAAATAGTTGCACATAGAGGAGTCCAAGGGCCATCCGGGGTTACTACCTCAGCTCAGCCCCATCAGTAGTACATACATGTAGCCAGCCTTCTTTGCTTTGCCGCCTTGGTTTGTTTTGGAACCCCATTCTTTTTGTCAGGGCACTTGGGTATTATAGTCTAACTTGGTTCCAGCAGGACTCAGTGACCTGGAAGGTAGAGTTGTGGGGTGGTTTTAGCAGTGAGAATTCATTTCAGATACCCCGGCAAGTATTCACTGCTCATCTTTCTCTTGGCTTATTGGTCAGTTCAGATGTGAAACCCCTTTTAGTATGTGACCCAGTGGAGAAGGATTATAGTCCTGGAGTGGAGCTTAACTTCTCTGTTCAAGCCCTAGCTGAGTATCCCCAGTATTTATTTTGACCTTCTCAGTACCTCTCATTCCTTCAGCAACCGAGCCCAGGGCTGTAGCAGGTATAGCCATGGTCTTCAGGGTTGCTGGTCTCCTGATGAGGAGTAGGAGGGGGCGTGCAGGTTGCGCCAAGTGTCCCGGCAAAAAAGTGAAGCAAAAGATGCTAAACTTTGATGGTGTTTAACCACATAGCAGTGGATAGACTTGGAGCCTAAAAACTGTGCATTACTGAGAAGAGGTCTAAAACCAGTGGTTTAACCTCTTTTGGACTGACTCCCAAAAATTGGGCTCCAGAAAACCCTGGGTGTTGGGGTGTGGGTATGTGTTTGAAAAATTTGTGCTCCTGGCCAGATCTGAACTTTTTCTATCCTACCGAATTTGGCAGTGAGGGGTGAGTTAATGATGCATAGCTGTCTCAGCTCGTTGGAGCTCCCAAAGCGGAAACCAGTACTACAGGCAAAGCCCTTCAGTCCCTGGATCTCAGCCCCAGGATGTCTTTTCCCTTTCATGGTTTTTCCCAAATTGTCAGACCGCCCCACATTTGCCTCTTCTGGGCCTCCTGTTACACTGGTTGGCCTCAGAAATGCCCATCCTTGAGAGGAAAGGAGAACACACTTATAGAAGCAGGCAGGGCCTTGTGAGCAAAGACTGCTTTTGTCAGGCCAAGACCCCAGTCCCTACTCCAGAATAGGGGTGTACTCCAGAAGACATGATCCGGTGTATCGGGACTCTGCCTTACATGCCATGATGGCCTGAGTGGCTGCCCTCTTCAGGTCATGTGGGTAGTATAGTGATGAAATAATCTCAAGAGAAAACATAGAAAGGAGGGCCTTCCTGGTGGTGCAAGGGGTTAAGTCTCATCACCATGAGGCTATTCGCAGCCACTGCAGCACCACCAGGGAGGTGACCCACATGGTGCAGCAGACCTCTCCTGACTTGCCTGCTGCTCCCCTCAGCAGTGTGTTTCAGTAGATCTGCCTATTCTGCTCCCCACTTTGTCTCTGGTGAATCCTCTGACACCTCGTACCTCTGGCCTGCACCCCAGCTCTTGTATGCATAAATAAATAAATATCTTTGAAAAGAAAAAGATAGAAAGGAGACAGACAGAGGAGAAACTCGAGCCTTCTAACAGAAAACAACCTGTCTGAAGTCCTACTGCTAATTTGCTGGTAGTACTTGTCTCTTCTTCTCTGCTGAATTCAAATGGCCACACTCCAGAATGGTTGGGGCTAAGGTGGAGTTGGGAGAGCTTTCTAGAGATGGCGAGTCTACACTGAGGCATGGAAGGTGATATGAAGAGTGTCCTGAGTTTGGGGGAGCCAGGTCATCAGGGAAGGATAAGGATAAATTGCCTGGCTAGTAAGATGTTGAAGAGAGGGCCTCCCTGGTGGCGCTGCGGTTGAGCGCTGGGTTGCAAAGCTGCCCGCAGCCTCTGCAGGGCCGGTTCGATCCCCGGCACCAGAGGAGGGTCCCACATGGCACGCAGACCTCTCCTGCCGCCCGCTGCTCCCCTCAGCAGTGTGCTTGGGTCCTTCTGCCTCCTCTGCTCCCCGCTCTGGCTCT